TGATTAAGAATCAAAATGAATAAGATGGAATGCCTCATTTCCAGTAAAAAGGGTCTCCGGTTCTCTACACTCGCCATATGAAACACAGCAGCATTAAGCTGCTATTTTACTCTGATATTCCGAGAGAGCGTGGTCCTACCTCGGTCGACCGATTTATTCGTGCTACAATCGTAATAAAGCTTCAGCATGGCTCTACCAAGTGTAATATTTTCACGTGTAAGCATTAAATGATAAATCTCCTAAAAGTATAAGGCGTCGTGTGTGCAGTTTTATTAAGACACTGTCTATAAACAGAACCAGAATCTTTAGACTTTGAAACCCAGAGATATTTTGAAATTTTCTAAATAAATACTAAGCGCGCAACAAACTATCCTACTAATATTATAAATGTGTAAGTTTGTGAGGATGTATGGATGTATGGATGTTTGTTACTCTTCTACGCAATAACTACTTAATGTATTTTAATGAAACTATGCAATAATATAGCTCACATATCAGGACAACACAGGTTTTAATTAATAAAGATATTTTTGAAAATTGGTCAAAATATAATGATAAGTGTTAAGTAAGTTGGAATAAAAATCTGTCATTTGCGAGATATTTTTGCGTGCGGTGCAAAACTATAAGAGTTACACAAACATAATGTACCGTGGAATTGTTTCTCCTAAATATTTCTACAATAAAAACGCCGACATAATATATCTATCTTTTATGTGCAAATCATTATTACCAAAATAGTGAACCATAAATACAATAAAATTTGATACTTTACTTCCAATGCACATTTTGTAGTAACAAATTGATTTCATCAATAGAAATACTTTAATCGCTTTTGATATTTAAAGTAGATTTTTCTTTGTCTTTTAAACTACGTTGTCACAATATGAAATTGTGCGATCCGGCACGCGAACGGCGGTCGGGCGTACTGCGGGCGAGGTGGGGAAAACATCGCCCATCGCTTAAACCTCTGAACCAATTAGGTATCGAGGTAGTTTAAGTCCCGAGGGAGAAAATAGGATAACTTTGATCTCGGAAATCATCCCTAAATAGGGAATGAAGGGAGAGATGGAATTAACTATGAAAGTGCGATTATTGATGGATCATCTATGGTTTGAAGTATAATATCTACGCGGTAGAAGTCGTGGGCAAAAGCTAGTGTCAAATACTATCGACAAAGTAACTAAAAATGATTAAAAATTAGTTTCTTAATCATTTTTGGGTTACTTTGTCGATAGTATTATCACATTCCATGCTCAGACCAACAAAATTTTCACGGAGTGTTGCGTAAATATCATGTGGCAGCAATACAAAACCAAGGTCATCATTTCATTTCATCAATCATTTACAACCAACAATATGGTTTTCGGTAATGAACTGCATATTTAGGCAAGAGCCCCGACAGGACAGTTTTTCATGAAAATAGCAGCATATTGCTGCTTTGTTTCGTATGATGAGTGTTGAGAACCGGAGACTCATTTATCTGGAAACGAGTTTAGTTCTCCTGGGTGACAAAGCATTTGTATTTAAAATATTAATCGAGGATAGATGTAGATTTATATGAGCCACAGTATCCACTTACTATCAGGCGAACTGTGTACTCGTTTGTCACCCTAATTTTATAAAAAAAAATGTATTTGAGCTGTCGGTCTAAATTACATTACTCTCTTCATCGTCCCCGTAATAAGACATCGCAAATCGTGACAATCTTGTAATCAACTTTATCTACAAGCAAGCGTAAGTTACTGCAAGTTACTAAAAAATTACGATACTGTTTTCCGTGCCATTTCAGAGCGCGACATTTACAATTTGTGGTATTGTGGCGGAAGAGAATCCACTAGCCTATATTATCATCCCGTGGCTGTCCTAAGAGGTGACAGTTGACACAAATTTCGTTATATTTTGTTGTTGTTTAACTTCCTGATAACAGTTCAAAATAATAGAAATCTGTGGTTGCCATGAAAAGACATGTTATGCTTTGAAGTCGTTGAATCTCACAAGACTGCCATCATTCCGTTCAAAGACTGCTACTCTTGCGAACTGGTTTTGATACCAATTGGTTCAAACACTCAGCTGATGATTGATTCTCTTCACAAACATACAATAATCTACGTACCCATAGTAATGGGCTTAAGCAGGTCATTGATATGCAGTAGGAAGAGATGTGTGGAGAGAACGGACCCCTGAGAAACTGCGGTATCAGTCACCACATGTTCGGAAGAGCAGCCTTCGAAAACGCCTAAGAGAGACTGTCCAATTAAAACGTCCTTTACTCAGCTGGTCAAACCAGAAGATAAGATATACCATGGAATCTTACCCAAAAGGCTAGCGTGTCAGACCCTTTCAAGACATCAAGGGGAAACAGCAATTGTTTTAACGTTCTTCTTTAAAATCTCGCCTATAGTGTGCAGCTTACACCAGGAGTTCACCTTTCGACTGATTATGTAGATAACTATACTGTCAGTCACTGAGGAGTATGTTCTAGGTATGCCGTTAATTGGGCGTTCAATATACGCTCCATTATCTTGCAGAGTATGGAGATAATTGAAATTGGCCAATAATTAAGTCGGCACGGCTGCTTTTTTAATAGGGTTCTTCCAGGATTGAGGCACCATTGTAACCTAAATGAGAGGCGGAACAAGCGTGGTCAATATAGGAGACAACTCGACAGCCCGTATACCATCTGGTTCACTAGCTTTGTTTACGTCTAGACGCCGTAACTTTTTTTTATAGAATAAGGGTGACAAACGAGCACACAGTCCACAGTAAGTGGATGCTGTAGCCCATACACATATACATATACATATCCACAATTAAGAATCTCTTTTTTTTTAAACACTTTACTCCAACACTAGGATTTTCTCCTGTATCGTGGAAGCAGTTTACAAACACAAATTGCACAAGGACAAACATCCAAACCCGGAACAATTATTTGCAGACCATACAAATACTTGTTCCGTGCGGTATACGAACACGCTGCCCTCAGCGCAGCAACGTTGCTAAGCCACTGCATCACGGAGCCGTGAAGGATCAAATTGCATATACTTTATCGCTCCAGAGGACTAAGATAGAATGTATAGTTTCCAGTAAAAAGCAAAAAGTGTGGACTGTCTACGCTAATAAAAAGATTTTGAGAACCTTTTTGTTAGTGATGCGCCAACATTGAGGTACCGCAGTGAGGTAGTTGAGGTGAAACATTGTTGCCACTATCTAGAAGTGCATTACAAGCAAAGAGAGATAAGCTACACTTACTGTTAGTATGTCGAGAACAAGCGCTTTTTCTTTATGCATATACGTGTGAAGATACACAGACATTGTAGAGCAACACTCCAAGCGGCTTTGTCGTGTTTGATTATGATGTAGTATCGAAACTGACCACACGTTATTCAATTGACAAGTGCTAATGTAACGGTTAAGAGACCGTCCATAGCGACTATTGATATCTATCATATACTTCATGACTCCTCGCCATGCTACATACAAGTTTTTTTTTATCTTAACACTAGCTGTTCCCCGCTACTTCGCCCGCGTGGTGTTATTTTTCGCGGACCTCTAAAATAAAAGCAGCCCAAGTTACTCCTTATAACATCGGCTATCTGCCAGTGTGTATAAATATTGACAAATATTGACATTAATATTTATACGATACTAACGTCACTCAATTGTTTTGCCTTCCCGGAACCCCTCCACTAACACTTAAACTTTATAGTATGGTATTAAAGTTCAAATTGACGTTTAAGTATTATTACAAATATTTTGTATGGGAATATAGAAAAGTATTGTTTTTAAACTTTTTCATGCAATTTTTTTTATTTTTCTCTCCGTAAGAACCATCTTCGTACTTCAAATAATATTATAAAAAAGAATTAGCGAAATCGGTTCAGCTGCTCTCGAGATTTGCGCTTAGCAACACATTCAGCGATTCGTTTTTATATTATAGATTTTCATTTATAAGTAACTAAATCATACTTTGTGAAAATGTAACTTAGGTAATTTTAAATTTATACGTGGTAGAGCCACCTTGCAGCTGTATTATGGTTGCAGCACGAATGGGTCGGCTCGAACGGGGTAAGACCACGCATTCTCAAAATGACAAACAGTGACAAACGAGTATACAGTCCATTTGATGGTAAGTGGATGCTGTGGCCCATAGACTTCGATCTCCCGATATTTCGATATCTCTCGATATCTCGATATCCTCGATTAAGAATCGAGGATATCGAGATATCGAAACGACGAGCGTGTATATGTGGGTGTATGGATGTAGTAGAAGCTAGAGAGAGGTGTCAGAATCATGCCAAATGGAAGTCCGTAGTCTCTGCCTATCCGTCTAGATAACAGGAGTAAGATTTTATACACGTATGTAATAATCGTGCGTTCGGCAGTGAAATGTTATGGGCTGATAAAGTAGGACAAAAGGAAGGTTCGAGTGTGTGTCAAGAACTTGGGCATGGTTTCAATATCACTTGAAACGTATTCAGCGCTCCGTCTATCTTGTTTTGTTGGTCTGTGAGCCGCACACTGTCCACAAACAATAGTCACTAGATGCTTGTAGCATGCTGTTGTAGGCGTTTTTTATGAAACACGACATTTTTTAAGCATCACATTATTGGAAACATACCTTTTCTCATTTCTAATATTAATGCGTTTTCCCGATTCTGGTAATACAGTTCAGTCTCATCAAAATCTATAGAGAATATATACGAGCACATAGACCACGTGCTTGTAAGTTGATGCTGTGGCCCAAAGAGATTTACATTTGTCCTCGCTTAAGAATTAAAATGCAGATGCGTTGTCACCCCGATGACTAAAATGGAATGCCTTGTTTCCAGTAAAAAGGGTCTCCGGTTTTCTAGACTCACCATACGAACACAGATGCATTAAGCTGCTATTTTACGCTGGTATTCTGTAAGCGCGTAATCCCACCACGGTCGAGCCGACCCATTTTTGCTACAACCATAATATAGCTGCCACGTTTGAAGAATGTCTGTTGTTGTTTTTAGGGTTTTTGCGCAACTGCACGCCGCCAGCCATTGACGACTTTCCGGCGGGATTCTTCACCGAGCAGCAGCGGCAGCACGGTGCCATCGTCCTGCACGCCTTCATCTCCATTTACCTCTTCGTGGCGCTGGCGGTAGTCTGCGACAAATTCTTCGTGCCTGCAGTGGATAGAATATGCCACGGTTAGTGCTACACTAGGGTTGTTGAAAGTTATTCTCCAAATGACCACTAATAGCGAAAATCTAGCACTCCATTTGAGTCACCAGATTTGCCATAGTGATTATTAAAGAATGTTTTTTTAATAATCACTATGGCATAGACGCAAAAAGGTGTGTGGTAGGGTCAGTAAACAAATGCAAAAATATTTTTATCTAGGCTTACATTTACAGGTGTCCCAGATAGAACAAAGTTTAAAAAAAAGTCCAGAACACGTCAATGTTCGTTAAAGCAAACTTTATAAAAAATCTTTGAAATTTTTCTTATGATGTTTCTTAACACATCCAATCATTAGTAAGCGTCATTTTTCATATATATATATATATATATGTGATAATCTAGTATGCTTCAGTCCCTAGTCAGCATTTTAAGCATACAAAATTCTATATCAATAAATTATTAACATCTCAATGAGGCTGTAATAAATGAAGGATTTTTAATTTTTTTTCCTCAAAGTTCTTTCGTCCTCCAACACCTCCAACAATTTTAATACATAAAAGATATTTAACATACTTTAATCTGTTATTCATAGGCAGTTTTTATTACTATTCCATTATAAATTTTACGAAAACAAACATGTGTGTGTGTATGTATGTATAGACGTAGGAAGTTATACTTCTTTAGCGTAACAAAACAAAAATAACTACCTTAAATATAGTTATCAGTTCCCACGAAAACTTGAGAGACAGTTACCCACTGAAGTTGTCGCTTTGAGGTGTCAGTGTGTGCGTGCATTGCAACAACTTCATAGTGTCGTTATAAGGTGTCGGTGTGCGCGGGTATCGTAAAAAAATCTCTCTTCTTTAATTTTTTCCAAAGACCCCAAAAGAAGTATAACTTCAAAAATAAATCTCCATACATTTTCACTCTACCCTAATCTCGCCAGGCGTTAAACATACAGACTGGCGTCTGAATCAAAAGTGGAAGACGACCGACTGATCTGTCAAGTGTGACGATGACGAAATGTCGTTCTTACAATAGGAGAGATCCAATCAGCAGTTGATTTTTGCGGGCTGATGATTATGATGATGATGGTGACGGGGAATTTAGTGAGCTGCAACAGACGGCATTGTCATGCGACAGTATGGCTGGACATAGACATCTCTCCAAGGCTCTTCTCAGAAGGCATCAAGCATGCAGTAACTGCTGATTCTCTCACAATAGTGTTCTATTGCAAACGTCTCAGACACAAAGATTAATCTCTAAATTGCATGTTATAATGTTGTTAATTATATTTAACCCCCAACGAAAGCAGAGCGGTGTTATAAGTTTGTAGTGCGCATCTGTGTATGTGTGTTTCTGTATGTGACTTCATAGCTCCTGAATGGATGGACCCATTTTGACATTGAGTTATATGTACTACGTACTAGAGAAGCCATTCCAAACAAAAATTGTGTCCTACTCTATGTCTTCGCGCATGAGCGGGAGTAGTAGTCGCGCATGTGCGAAGACATTAATTTGATATAAAATAAGATATTAATATAAAATAAATATAAGAATTTAATATAAAATATCTTAATTTAATCTAAACAAACATATTTCTAAATAAAATGTAATAATAATTATTTTATGGAATTCACAAATCTTCAATTTACGCAATATTTAGTTTGTATGGATTGCAGTACAGTTCAGTTGAACATAGTCAATGTTCGGAATGGCTTCTCTAGTACGTAGTACATATAACTCAATGCATTTTGATTTTTTTTGTTTTCGTGTACTTAGGTATGTTCCAAGAAAATCTGTTAAGACGTTTGAAGATCATCAGCTCTTTTTGTTTATGAGTTTTTAAAAATTTTAATTAATAAATTATTTATGTTTATAATGACACTGTCATACCAAAAGCGCTCGATGTAAATTTCACAGTACGCGAGCAACCCGGGCTCAATCCCCGCCGGCACCAATGAAATTGATATTTGCAATTTTAAGTGCTGATTTACCACGTGTTCGGCGGTGAGAAAAAACACCGTGAGGAAACTTAAAATATTTAGAAGATATATGAAATTCACCAACATGCATGGTGAAAATTTCCTTGCCCTAAAACCCTCTCGGAAATGAGAGGAGGCCCGTGTACGGCAGTGGGAGCAATTTATGTTTCAAAGTCACGAGAAGCATCATGTTTGTGGACCAAGACAGGGGTTTTTAGCAAAATCTTTAAATAGTTCACTACTGGATCTCGTTGCTTCTCCAAAGTTTTAATCTCCAGTGTCTCTTGTACTTTGGTCTATTATCCTCAGTCCACCAATCTGAGTATTTTTGGTTTTGCGTTTTTTATGTCTTTATTTAGTAACTTACCAATTTCAGATTTTGTTGAAATTCCAGAAATTCCGGAATTTCTGGAATTCCTTTTAGTGCATAGAATTACTTTTACAAAGTTAGTAATTTGATTTTATTTTAGGGTAAAGTTATAAGAAGTAACTGTGGCAATATTATTTGATTTTCAGCTAGTTCCACATTGAAAATATAATTTAAAATTATAGAAATAATATAAATAAAATATTTAAATATTTTTGTGAAGGTTTTGTTATATTTTATAACAAAACTTACATGCTGTTAATCTTTTTATTCAGTTAGGGCTAATAATTTTCTGCTCTCCAGATATCGCCACTTGACACTGAGGTAAAGTTTTCTACTCGTATTACGCAATGGTTTGTTCTTTTATTTTTTGCACATTTTTAACCTTTTAAAAAATATTGCTACTTTCATGAATATCTATGGTTTGGTTTATTTACTTTTAATCTTATTTATATAAAATATAGCTAATAGTACAAAAAAAAAACAATATCCTTTACATTTTCCGAACAAATTAATTTCCCCGGTATGAAATCTGTCAAATATTATACCCCATTTTGTTTTTCTTCAAGTATTAAATTACGAACGACCTCAGTTGTTTTAGCAATAAAATCCAGTTTAACGCAAACATCCACGACATTTCTGTAACCAGAGCGAGATTTCATAGAGGGAAAGTTATTTTTTTTAGGAAAAGGAAAGGTAAATGTTTCTTTCTAATATTATTTGTATATAGTTATGTAACGGTTAATGTTTCTGTCTGTAGTAATAGTAGTTTAATTGTAATAAATGAATAAGACCAAACTACGGATATTCCTAAAAGTAGAAAATTAAGAAAAAGTTTAAACATGTTTAAATATTAAAAAGGAAAATCACTGAAGCAGTAGAACAAGAAACAAGAATGTTACTTTAAAAACCTATAAACATTTGTTTAAAACTAACTTTTCAATTAAATACGTACGTAAAAACGTTATGTATAACAAAACTGTTCACCTGAGCCGCAACTAGCGACGTCTGGCGAGTGGAAGATTATTCGACACTTACCATCAGGTGAGCCGTATGCTCGTTTACCCCCTCTTCTATAAAAAAGATGTCGTTCCCATTAATTTTTTTTCAGCGTTGACGATCATACAAAGTCATCTTGGCTAACAACGCAGGATTTCTTTAACTTCTTACGAGATCTTCAACAATAATTTAGTAGCTTTCCCTTTGTAGGTATGTCTTAAAGCTTTAAAACTATAAAATTGAGATGTTTATAAAAATACTTAGCCCTCATTGTCTGATGGCTTTCCTTAAGATTACCCTCGATTTCATTTCCAGCATTAAACATGACTAACGACGTGGCTGGGGCTACGTTCATGGCAGCGGCCACGTCGGCACCGGAGCTCTTCGTGAACGTCATAGGGACGTTTATTACGGAGGGGGATATCGGTGTGGGCACCATAGTCGGTTCTGCAGTCTTCAACATCCTCGCTGTAGCCGCCTGCTGCGGCATCGGCGCGGGCATGGTACTTTTCAAAAAATATTAACTAACATGCGGTGAAGTTTCTAAAGCAGCTGTGTCCGCGACTGGTCATCGCTGCTAGTGATAAAAGGGCTGGTTCCTTTCTTGCTCAAAGGCTAAGTATATCCATTCGGCGAGAAACACACCCAGCTTTCTTGGCATTATTCCGTGTGGAGTAGAACTGTGTGATAATTTGAGATTTTAGTTTTAGTTATTATATATAGTTTTTAATATTTAATATATTAATGTTAGGTAAATAAAAGATAGTTAAAGTTATGTAGTTTCATAAATATATTTAAAAAAAATCCATTTATTTAAATGTGTTAAGATAAAACAGTGAAATTGCGGTGTATGAATATCCACTACCGTATTTCGCCCCGTGAATGTCGGAAGAGGCGAAAGAGGGAAACTAAAATAGAAAATAGGAAATAGCATCTTCCTAATAACAACATAAAATAATAAAAATTGCGGTCGTCAACACGCCTGATAAGCGTGGAGAAATCCCTTCCAGTGTGGTACTTTTATAGGGTGTGATGGATGGATGGATAGTTTAAAGAACACGATTCTTGTGTATAAAGTAAATACTTATTAAGTAAATATTTCTACTAGATCAAATAACAAACTTTACATAATACTTAATACTAACGACTTAGGCATTGGGAGGTTAATCAGCTTTTGCCGACGTCTGGTCAATACCCTACGTACCTAACTAGTAATTAGTCCCTTCTATGGGGATGTTATTCAGTCATGAAGTCTTGTAATGGGTCATTAATAGAATCAGTCGTTTTTTTTTGCAGCCAAATCCATTGTATTAAAGTTGTTAAAATAATTACCTTATGAAAATTTAATATGATGTGCCTTACTTAGTTTGAAGTGCACCTCCCTCCCTCTCTCAATTACACGCTAGGAAAGACACGCTATCGGTAATAAGACACGAATTTCGCCACTAAACGAGGCATCATTAGGAGAAATGGATTCTGTGACCTTAAACTGGGCATATAAATATTGCAGAATAAATAAAACCGGAAGAAACAAAAGAATAGCTGATTTTGAAATGATTAAATATAAAATTTACTTGAATTTAGAATTTCAAGTCCAACCACAGATATTACAGTGTTAAGTTAATTAAACACGTAAGTTAACCCTTCAAAATATGTGAGTCTATCGGCGTCGGATTTCACGTTGAACAAGCTATAGTTATATTTACCTGAGGATACCTCGTTTAGAGACAAAACGTGTCCTATTATCGACAGTGGTGAGTCCTTCCAAGTTTAGTGGTGTTTGTATTAGTGGTGCTGGGATAAGTGATGACGGGGATAGTGCACGCAATTAGGAGAGTGCGGATCTTCGACCCATGCGCTGTCTGAAGGGGAGGGTCACAGGGGACATGACCCCCGCCCCCCAATTGTGCACGCCAATATGAAAAATATTTAACAATTACGAAATAAAAATAAGAACTTAATGTGAAGAAATTATTAGAATGTTATTCCCATTTCTTGAGTGCAGAGTATCAGCTATGGAAAATGGAAACAGGAACTCAAAGAAAATACTGATACAAAATTTCCTAAGTGTATGGTTTCTACAATCGAAGTTTACGACTATTATCTCTACCCTAATACTTTGCTACCCCAACTACTTAGAAATTGCTGAAAATTCTGGCAACTCTTCTTATAACTCGACATATTTTATTATTAGTGATCCCCTCCAAAGTTTCAGGCTGCGACCGCGCCTGTTTCGACCTATGTAATACACTTTAATTTATTACAAAAATATTAGTTAATTAATTTTTAACATCTTTAATAATATGAATTTCACGCAAAATAGCGCCTGATTCTACTTATTATCAGATATCTTGTTAAATTTATAATCGCTTCAGAATGATGTACTTGCAGGTGGTTCCTCTGGACTGGTGGCCATTGACGCGCGACTGCTTGGCCTATGGTATCACTGTGTCCATACTTATATGTATAATGCACGATGAGTATGTGCAATGGTACGAGGCGTTCCTGCTCGTGTCACTCTATGGCGTGTACCTTTGCATCATGTATTATGACAAGTCCATTCAAAACTTTACTAAAGGTAATTCTTATATACATTATTTTAAAATTGGTACAAAGTAAAAATACTTACTATCAGATAGCTAATCTAGTTAAATTGGTACTCAATTCCTTCCACAGCAAGTTGGAAATATGTGTCAGCGATGAGGAATAAAAACGATGAAAAACAGGAGAGCTCTTATGCTGTTGGAAGTGGTCTGTATTTGCTCGTATTTCTCAGTCTGTAATTGTCTGTATTTAATGATATTAATAATCATTCAATTTCAGAACTTAACGAATCTAAAATCCTAGCGTCGCCCAGTAAGAACGAGCCGACTGTGGATCATTGTCAGCATAATGGGAACATCAAATGCATTACATTGCATGGGGATGATCGTGATAAGAAACCTGAAACAATTGAGGAAGAGGACAAGAATGTCAATATTGAAGTGGACTCAAAGCAAAACGAAGCTGAGATCATTGCACAAGACGAAAATGCTCACAAAGATAATGTAGAAGAGGGCAACAAAAATAAAACAGATGAATATGAGCATTCTCTTTGGAAATGGCCATCTGGTAGAAGCGTGCTCACAAAGGTATTAGAGTTATATTGTGTTTAACAATTTACTACACAATAAATGAATAACTTAATGTCATGCCTCTGTACTGTTACAGATAACCTGGATCATAACTTGGCCAATCCACCTGGTATTTATGTTTACAATACCTGACTGCGAAAAGCCCCGCTTCAAGAGCTGGTTCCCTCTCACATTTATAATGTGTATCGTGTGGATAGGATCCTTGTCTTACATTGTCGCGTGGATGATCACTATTATTGGTCTGTGGATCTTAAAATTTTATTGCGCAACAATATTTTTAATTATTATTGTATTTTTGAAGCGCTATGATATAAAAAATATTCTCTTAGATTCGTATTAAACAATGTTTTAACTAACGAATATAATAGCACATAACCAATGACATTATTTTGTTTTACAGGGGACACTTTAATGATTCCGGATTCTGTGATGGGAATAACGTTCCTTGCCGCCGGTACATCAGTACCAGAAGCAGTTTCGAGCGTCATAGTTGCAAAACAAGGTAAATTAGAAACTTAACCTAAACACATTTTAAACATAAGAAGCGACTACAAAGTAGTAATTGTTCCAGGTCATGGTTCTATGGGTATCAGTAATTCTATTGGATCAAATACATTCGACATTCTGTTATGTCTTGGACTGCCGTGGCTAATCAAAGCTTCACTTACTCCAGCTGAGCCTGGCAATTATTGGGTAAGATGTACTTCTTTTTTTATTTATATGTTAGTAATTTCTTGCGCAGTGTTAATGTAGCGTCCGGCCCTGCGATTGTTTGCAATGCGAGTTGTTTTGCATAGCGTAAATGTTTTTTTGAAGTCTTTCTTTGTATACTATAAAAATAGTGTTCACTTCTAAGGAAGTCTGTATGTTCAACTGTTATTGTATTATTATTGTTTTACAAAATGTTGTATCAATAGGTCAAGATAAATTCGATGGGACTGGAGTATTCAGCGATATCTCTCCTGTCGACGCTCCTGATGCTCTATCTGACGTTTTGGTTCAACAAGTTCAAGCTGGACGCGGCAGTGGGGCGCGCCTGTCTTGCCATGTACGCCCTGTTTCTAGTGCTGGCAACACTTATCGAACTGAACGTGTTCTTCCCAGTTAACGTGCGCACGTGCAAAAGAACCGAACTGTAATCATAATTAACACATGACTTGTGGGAGATAGTGTAAAAAGCAGGCTAGGTCTGCATTTCATAACACAGTGTGGAGAAAACACTTGTGCCTGACTTCGAGCTCAATTCGTATTCGCTTAGTATCGAATTGATCGCCTACAAAATTGTTTACGTCGTTCTATCCGTAAAGTACGTACTTCGGCCGTCTCTCCGAGTCCTCATAGATTAATTGCTTCCGGCGTTTTGAGTCAAATGGGTAATAAGAAATATGATATGATCGATGCAAGTACGTGTTTTGTAGATAGCGATTTTATCCCTCAAAGCCATTCGTCGCTTTTATATTTTTTTAGGAAGATATTTTATAATGTTTATTTTTATAAAAATGTGTTGGTGCGGATATGAACACTTCTTCTATGTGCAATTAAGACAACCGTCTAGGTATAAGTAAAGAATTCAGTTGAGAAGGCAACAATTTCTTTAATTGGACCATAAGCAATTACTGTATTAATTGCTTATGCAACGAGTTATTTGAGATCATTGATAAGATAATTGTTCACTTATAACTTCAATAAGCATTGTTGCCGTTTCGAATGACGAAATTTAATGAGCATATACATATTGCATTGATCAGGTTCTATTTAAGGTTATTTAGACATATAAATATAAGGTATTACAATATAATTAAATTAAATTTCAACAAATTGGCGCGTTCGTTGTTCTGAATACTAAAGTGAACTTTGTTTACGTTCTTAAAAGCTGGAAAAATTGTTTGTGTAAATAAATACATATCTACTGTTGTAATGTAACAGAGTTTAACATTAACTGAATATATTGATTTTAAATAAAACTTTTACAACTTTTTATTTATCTTTCCTTATCTTTTGTGTCTTGTCGTTGATTTTTATATCTTAAGGTCTCCCGACAGAGATGACCTTGCTTTTTTATAGAATAAGGGTGAAATAGGAGCACACAGTACATCTGATGGTAAGTGGACGCTGTGACTTACGGACCATCTACGAATCAAAATACAAATGCATTGTCAAATCTGAGGACTAAGATGGAGTTGCCTAGCTTCCAGTAAAAAGGGTATCCGGTTCTGGACACTTACCATATGAAACACAGCAGCATTAAGCTGCTATTTTACGCGGGTATTCTGTAAGAGTTTGGTGCTGCCCCGGTCGAGTCGACCCATTCATGCTCGACTTAATAAGCTAAGCATGGCTCTCAAATATCTATTAACCTTGCAAATTTCTTTGGTTGACGGGCGTGCGTTTGTAACCTTGATTGGTCATCGCCACATCCGAAGTGGGCCCGCCAAGCCCACTCGGAGTGGCCACCTCGGGCCGGCCATTCACCACGGGCCAGCCAAGAGGTACCTCTTTGGTCACCGCGGGTGACCAAGCCACGGCTACTAACCCCCCCCGCCACGACAAGGCGAAACCCGTTCGGGGGGACGGGCGGTAATACAGGCGACCTAGAAGAACTTTTACCCTTGATAATAACTTCCTGCATTCTATTTATTACTTGGTATGGAATAATAACTTTAAGTGCAATAGTCTTGTCAACTTAATATTATAGTCTTCTGAATAATGTTGAATAGTGCACAAATTCAAAGACTTTGAAAAGGTCACAAAAATACCTACTTTCTATGTCAAATATGCGCATGTAAGTCTATGAGGAGGTCTGTATTCAGCATTGGAATTTAGATAGGCTGTAATGATGATGATGATGAAATTCACTAAAAATAAAAACTTTAAAAATTTCTGTTAAAAAAGCCTTCACTAATTAATATCATACATTAATACATTGAGGACAAATATGTGTGAAACAGTTTCTTGCCAGTTCTCCTTCGAGGTCTTGTTTTCTGAACCGGTGAAGATTTGGACATTCGAAAGGGCTTTAAAAGAGAATGTTTTGAACACGTTATATCTCGTTCGCGAGTTACCGTTACGCGGTAGAGCCACGTTGCAGCTATATTATAACATATAGCTGCAACGTATATAAGGACCACGCTCTCACAGAATACCAGCGTAAAATAGCAGATTAACACTGCTGTGTCTCGTACGGTGAGTGTAGAGAACCGGAGACCCGTTTTATTGGAAAGAGGTATTCTATCTTACTCCTCAAGGGTGACAACACATCTGCATTATGATTCTTAATCGAGGATAGATGTAGATGTCTATGGGCCACAGCACCCACTTACTAGCAGGTCGACTGTATGCTCGTTTGTCACCTTATTCTTTATAAAAACACCCAAATGACAATCTTGCATTTTCTTTTTCATCTATTATAGGATACTCTAACGGTAGCAGATGCAAGGTATGATGATGGTGCATTCTTCAAATGGCCTATGTCCAGCAGAAGTTAAGTCTACTGCTGGACATGGAGAGACAGGAGGCTGTGGATGTAACACAAGACTGAGGAACAAGCATTACATTGTTGCTCTGTTTTATTTTTTAATTCTTTTTAACGTTACTTCCACACTAGGATTTTCTCAACCTCTAGATCCGAAAAAATATTTGTAGGCCATACAAAGTGATTTTGTAAGGAAATAAATTTCTGTCTAGTAGAGGCATAAGAATATTCACTACCTCATATCATCTCGTGGGTGTTCTTAAAGAAAACCGAGGGAATCTGAAATAGAATATGGGTGCAGCATCTTCCTGGCTACAACTGAATATAATAAAAAATCTGCGGTTGCCAACCCGCCCGCCAAGCGTGGCAACTATGGCAAAATCTCCCGTACGATGCAATCTATGGGGTAGACCTATACTCAGGAGTGGAGTTTTGATAGGCTGAATGAATTAATGAAGGAAAATAAAACACAATATTAATTATGATTTGTATCTTATAATAAGTATAATACGCGTAAGTTTCACTCTGAAGAATCTTATGTATATAAACATAAAACATAATATTATATACATTTGGGTATTTGATAAGTCTATTAATAAAAATTTACATCACATGATTTGAGTTTGCTACTTTTAGTAGTGTAATTATGTGGATAGGTAACAAGTATTTTTTTTTTACTTTAGTAATGGACTCGTACGGTTTTAATTTTGCCGGTACCAAATAATAAGAAATTATCAGATAAAATAATTTGTTAAAAACTTGTTTACAATATGCTGATACGTCATATTGTCGTTGGGAGACTTTAATGGCAGCTTGAGCCAACAGATGATCAATGACGATAGTATCTCTTTCTAAGAAAAAATAACTTGAAATTTTTATCACCATCTTAGAGGTTGTTTCTTCCAATATGTTTATATACTTAAACATTTAATTCATAAAATTCCACCAATTTTACGTATCCAAATAAAATTAATACAGGAGCAACAATCCACCAGCTCCCAAAACGTCCAAATATTTTTTTTTTTACTTTTGATATTATCTCGTATAATAATACTTTTGCCAGTTTTTTTATATTTTATTAAAAAAAACTCCTTCACGATATACATCACATTGTGAAGTTTTTGGGGGATCTTAACAACAGCTTAACCCAGGGCATAATCGGTGACGTCAATATCTCAATTTCGCTTAAGCAGACAATATAACTTTAAGTATATATCATCATCGGAGCACACGTTTTGTCGTTTCCATTTAAAGCTAATTTATATTTATTAAAATCTGATGATTGACTATGTAATTATGACATCACCACACTATATTATCATACAATTTCTATAAAAGTTTGTCTTGACAAGTCTTAAAAGGCATTTTAATTGATCAAATATCCAATTACAAATATCTTGAACGCAGAAAGTTCAAACATCGCTATTTCGTGCTGAAATTGTTGTTGCTTTTCGACACTGTCTCGCCGTCGTCGTCAGGGTTCTCCTTCTGCAATGGAATTAGAACATCCGCAAAATATTACTCCGTTAATTAATCTCATCATCTTTATCCGCCCGTAAAAGCAGGTGCTTTTACTAGACGAAGAGTAGACTATGGGATCTCAAGGTTACAAGGAAGGATGGCGGTAAAACAACCCTGTTTATACCAGACGTAAAATACTCGGACTGGCGAAGAGAGAGAGGGAGAGAGAGAGATAGAGAGAGAGAGAGAGAGAGAGAGAGAGAGAGAGAAGAAAGCAGTGAATTATTTTTTATAAAATGAAGCGACAAAGGACATGAACTTACGTCCACCTGATGGTAATTGGTACGTCATTGTCCACTGTCAACCACGCCTCACAGACTAATTACTCTGGCTGGCTAAACCCTTCATACAGGAACATATAACATATGATGACAATCGATGGAGAAACAAAATGCAGACGCGTTGTCACCCACGAGAACTAAAATGCCTCCTTACTGGTAAAAAAGTCACCGATTTTCGTCACGTACTATAGGAAAACTGTAGCATTATGGTGGTACTTTATGTTGATAGTGTGAGCGTCACAGTGGGTAATCTGTGGTGGGCGTTTTCCTTCCCCGGTAGAGTGGACTATCTTACAGCTGAAGCGTGGTTCTACCACGTAAACACTTGAGCTGACAGCTTCGTAGCTAAGCAGAGCTAAGCGCTCACAGAATAATGTACACAGAATAAAAATTAATATTCTATTCTAGCTAATAGAATCAGACGTTACTTTGTGGAAGTCCATTATAAACATTTGAAAAATTATTGAATTAAACTATTTTTTTACGGATATTATTGCGTATAATTTTGTTATTTCCAGTCCGTACTGGTTAATCGCGATAAAATAAACGGAATAAAATCCGTACAAATAGTTTTATTCTGTGTAGTTTTGACATAAATATAAGAAATCATTACGTTAAAAATGAATTAGCTAATAAAATATAATGATCTGTCTTAAATAGTTTGAAGAGCACCTTCCACCCTCCATCAATTGTCACTTAAGTGTCGTCATTAATCCCAACCCACTACTCCCAACACCAGAACACTATCAGATTTACGCTGACTGCGTTAGGGGTCTGCCACCGCAGAGTCTACCTCACCTGAGGATGCTTCGTTTACAGGCGAAACAAGGACACTCACATACGAAACACTCACTCGTGCTACAACTATAATATAGCTGCAGCATGGATCTACCACACATAAAAATATTAATTAATAATTTAATCTTCTATTGTAGTGATGTACTTGATTGTACTGACAGAGTGCGGGGTGATGAGGTGCAGGTCCGGAGCGGGGTGCGAGTTGCGCGGGTGGCGGCAGTGCGGGTGTTGCGTCGGCAGCCAGCGGTGGATCATTGGCGTTAGCAGATCCCGATGTACCTGCACAATACCACACAACCAAAATCATAATTTTGAATTTGGAATACGAGTACACAGATTTTAATTTGAAATGTCTAACTTTCTATTTTTTTTTTGAGAAAGTGGCCAGCATGCTGTACAAATTTAATTTTGGGCAAATTATAACGGTAATTTTTACCACACTAAATAAACGTACTGGCTTATATTAATACTCGTTAAAACTAAAAAAATCCCAATAAGGAAAAAGAAAATTTCTATTTACTTATTTATTATATGGAGAACAAAACAGAAACAACCAAGTTACATTAAAAACTAAGTACTTTTTAACAGTTCTATACCAGATTGATATACTAAATATGTTGACACATCACTTTTACATTAATTACAGATCAACACTTCTGTAAACAACATTTATGCATACTTAACTACATAAGTATTACATAAAACCTGTGTGATATGTGAGTTAGTGCGCATAAATGCATGTTGCTTTAATGCAATTTTGAGTATTCTGGATCTTGGGTCAAAAAAGCGAAGCTTTTCATGGATACCTCGTTGTAACGCCGACATATTCTTATTATGTGGTAATAAAAAGAAGTATTTTGCTTATAAGTAGTAATAGATTTATTAATCTGTGCTTCAAAGCGGCTCGGCCAGTGCTCAAACTCAGGATGTACACGTCGCGCATCGCGTGCTTGTTTTCGTTTCATGTTTAGTTTATATATATATATATATATATACTAGCTGTGTTCCGCGGTTCCACCCGCGTCATCACGTGTCCGAGGTGCGCGACATGACCTAGTTCAAGCATTTTATAACGGCTAGGGTTTAAGCGTCGTTCACGCGCCCAGCCAAGTATTATATTATTTTAATTTTACATTATCTCTTAAACTATGCGTCCAAATAACATGGTATAAACAACAAAGTTTATCTTCATAAAATTGTCTTGATGATGAAGTAACTTTCGTTCTTAAGGATAAATAGGCCATGCCTAATAATAACGCTCATAAATCACTTTTAAGTTTTCAATATGTTTTTTGTCACAAAATACCAAATTATGGCTTATATATAAGAAATAGACATATGGTATTGCGGACTTTTTTATAGACGGAGTAAATGTCTATATTTTTCTAGAACATTGTATTTACGTATCCCTAACGATAACACTAGCGTACGCAGATAAATCATTTCGGGAGTGCTTTTTCTTCTGACTTGCTTAACAAATATCCATATTTAAGGCTAGCTGAGTAATATAGCTTAATGCTAGATAGCCTATACTATTCCACATGAATCTGGCCTTTAATATACAAAAAGAATTTTTCAAATCGGACTGGTGGTTCCAGAGATTAGCGCGTTTAAACAAACAAAAAAACAAAAAACTCTTCCGCTTTATTATTATATTAAGTATAGATATATATTCCGGGAGGAAAACCGGCGACGAGGTTCGCCACCCGTCACGTTCTGTCCCCCGGAGGGGCGAAAAGTGGATTGCGGAAGCCCGTCTGGCTACATTGAACGTATGTGGAGGAATGAATGATAAGATGGATGAAGTATGCGATATGATGTATGATAGAGGAATAGACGTGTTATGTGTGAATGAGACGAAACGGAAGGGAAAGGATGCCACTACACATGGCATGTATACCGCGTACTGGTCTGGTGTAGACGAGACCGAGCGGGCATGCCAGGGAGTCGGTATCATCCTTTCAGAAAGAATGGGTCATTGTGTAAAAGAGTATGAATGTGTAAGCCCGAGACTGCTATGGATACGAATGAAAGTGGGCTTAAAGAAGTTGTTTGTTTTAGGGGTCTACGCCCCAGACATGTCTAAGCCCACTTATATCCGAGAGCAGTTTTGGGAGTTGGTAAGGATGGTGCTAATGAAATGCAAGGTTAATGAAAATATTGTGATATTAGGCGATTTTAATGGAAGGGTTGGGGTGAGGAGGCTTGGTTATGAAAGGATATTGGGAACGTTTGGTGATGAAAGTATAAATGAGAATGGTGAAAGCCTTCTCGCCGTATGCGTGGAAAAGAATCTTGTTGTGACGAACACTTTGTTTCGTCATAAGAAGATTCACACGTATACATGGGAAAGAGGTGATGATAGAAGTATGATAGATTTCATAATTGTTGATGAAAGAATGAGGAGCGCGGTGGTAGATACAAGGGTTTACCGGGGCTCTAACGTAGGGACGGATCATTACTTGGTCTTATGCCGAATTAATGGTCTTTTCAGACGTTGGAGGCATCGGACATCTGTGTCTACCACAGCGTTACAGCGTATAAAAACAGAGAGGCTACAAGATGAAGGTGTGAAAGAGAAGTTCAAATGTAGATTGAGAGAAAATATAAGTGGTATGGCTGAATTGTGTATGAATGATTTAGACTTGGAGACTGTGTGGTATAATGTCAAGAAAGGTTTAGTGGATGCAGCTACCGAAGTATGTGGTGTAAGCAAGAGAACAAATGAAAGGAAAAATAACACGTTATGGTGGGATGATGAGGTACGGATGGAAGTTGAAGCAAAGAAGAAAGCATGGCTAGATTTACTAGCAACCAAGGCTAGCAATTCTAGCAGTATGAATGATGATATTGAAAGGAAAAAGGCGGTTTTTAGACACCTAAATAAGAGAGTAAAAGAAGTAGTTGAAAGGAAAAAGCAAGAAAGAACGGATAAGAATGATAGAAGAATATCGGATAACTTCCAGGAAAACATTAAAATGTTCTGGAAACTCGTAAGAACTACCAGGGGACATTCACAACAGCCTAGAATGAATGCTATACGAGACCAGAATGGCTGTATTCTGAATGACGAAGTTTTGAGTTTAAGGAGATGGAAGGAATACTTTGAAAGCGTGTTTATGAGTGATGAGACGTTTGAATTAAATGAAATAGAAATTCCGAAAGAAGAGGAAATAGATAGAGATATAAGTATAGATGAAATAATGAAAGCAATGAAAAGTATGAAAGTAGGTAAGGCAGCTGGTTATGATAGAGTATCTCTCGAAATGCTAAGGGCTGGAGAAGGAGTGGTGGCAGACCTGCTGTACACCTTGTTTAATTTATGTTGGGAACTTAAGCGGGTACCGGGAGACTGGTGCAAAGCCGTGATAGTCCCAATATATAAGGGAAAAGGATCACAGCAGGACTGTAAAAACTACCGTGGTATCAGCCTTCTTAGCATTGTGGGAAAACTGTATGCTAAGGTACTAATTGAAAGAGTTATGAAAGAAACTGACGGAAAAATTTGGGATGTGCAAGCGGGATTTAGAAAGGGAATGGGATGTACGGATCAGGTCTTTTCCATGCGCATGATCGCCGAGAAGTTTTTGGCCAAAAACCAAAAAGTTTTTTGTGCGTTCATGGACTTGGAGAAGGCTTATGACAGAGTGGACAGGGATGTGTTATGGCAAACACTGAACTCATTTGGGTTGAGCGCTGGTCTGATACAGGCATTGAAGTCTCTATATAGGGACTCTAGTGCTTGTGTCAGGATCAACGGGGCCTACTCGGACTGGTTTGACATCCATAAAGGTGTCAGACAGGGCTGTGTGGCTTCCCCGTGGTTGTTCAACCTGTTTATGGACAGTTGTTTGGAAAATTTGAAAGTAGAAGAATGCGGGTTAAGAATGGGTGAGTTAACCGTCAAATGCCTTTTGTACGCCGATGATCAAGTCATACTTGCGTCGTCGGCAGCCGAGTTGCAAATGATGGTTACATTAATGAACAGGACATTAAAAGAAAAGGGAATGAAAGTGAACGCAAGTAAGACGAAAGTTATGGTTTTTGAAAGAGAAGAAAGTAAAACGATATGTGAAATAAGAATAGAAGGGGAGTTGGTAGAGCAAGTAGATGAGTTTGTATATTTGGGATGTGTGTTTAGCAGGGATGGTAGATATGATAAGGATATAGAACGACGAGTGAATGCAGGAAATAGAGTGAATGGGGCTCTACACTCTATTGTGAAAAGTCAGAATGTGTCCAAAAAGGCACGTATGGCAATTCACAATGCTGTGTTAGTACCTACTTTAATGTATGGTAGTGAAAGTTGGGTGTGGCAGAAGAAGCATGAGAGTAGAATAAATGCTGTAGAAATGCGGTCATTAAGGAGTATGTTAGGGATGAAGCTGAATGACAGAGTGAGAAATTGTTTAATAAGAGAAGAGTGTGGTTTGCAAGATGATGTTGTGACCAGGATTAAGAAAGGAATGCTTCGGTGGTTTGGCCATGTAGAAAGAATGAATGAGGAAAGAGTGACAAAGCAAATTTATGTTGCAGAGGTGAACGGCATAGTCGGGAAGGGTCGCCCTAGGCGAAAGTTTATCGACCAAATTGGCGATATATTAAAAATGGGCCAAATCAAGAGTACCTTTAACCGACGAGCGTGTATGCGTAGGTATATGGATGTGGAGGAAGCGAGAGAGGTGTGTCAGGATCGTGCCAAATGGAAGTCCATAATCTCTGCCTACCCCTCTGGGTGACAGGCGTGAGTGTTTATGTTATGTTATATATCATCATTACAGCCCTTCACAAGTCCACTGCTGAACATAGATCTCCCCCAAGAAATGCCACACAGCACGGTCCTGAGCCACCTGCATCCATCGACTTCCTGCATGTCTCACCAGGTCGTCACTCCATCCCTACACTTCGCCTACCGGTACGAGGCCGCCACTCGAGAACCTTTCTTCCCCATCGGTTGTCGGTTCTTCAAGCTATATGGTCGACCCACTGCATCTTCAGCTAACTAATCCGTTGCGATATGTCGGTTACTCTGGTTCTACTGCGGATATCCTCATTTCTAAGTTTATCACGCAGAGACACCCCGAGCATAGCCTCTCAATAGCTGCTTGAAATAGCTTCCTCATACAGCCAGCAGTGAAGGACCACGTCTCAGATCCGTAAGTCATCACTGGCAACACGCTCATATATACATATACATATATACATACATATATATATATATATATATATATATATATATATATATCATTTACTGTACTATGTGTATGAACAATAATAGAACAAATAAAAATACATATATATATATATATATATATATATATATATATATATATATATATATATATAATTTTTAACTATCCCAAAGAAAATGCCTCAAACACCACAAATGTGAGACTATGAAATTGTATGTTAATTATGAAAAATGTATGAAAATACATTTATTTTTATTTAAATATGGGGAAAGATTATTTTTTCAGCCGTTAGAAGGATTGAAATAAAGATAGTGCAGAATTGGGTTGTTTAATAATAGGTACCTCTTGACAATTTTATCGTGTTTGTTGAACTTTCGCGAATATTTTGAGCTCGAAGGAAACATTGTTAATACTTTTTTTTTTGTGATTTATCATGCAATCAGTCGATGGACTATGAGCAGATTGGTTGTAGGACAGATTGGCGTGCAGAGAAAACTTCCCCAGCGGGAAGCACTCCATAAGTCTCAACTATACATTGTCAAGTATATGCCTTCTCTTTAGGCGACGAATCGCTTGTGGCATTGTCAACTGGCATGCTAATTGATTTGGATGGTTGCCAAGTCTTGTTTTGTAGTTGCAGCTGTAGCGCCTAATTTCTTCCTTAACTGAGTTCATTTTAAGGTGTTCATGGATTTCAGATGTTCTTATGAACCATGGTGCGTTTGAAAGTTGTTTAAGTATGTAGTTTTGGGTTCTTTGAATGATTTCGATGTTGGAGTCACATGCTGATCCCCAAAGTTGTATGCCGTATGTCCATATCGGTTTTATAATGATGTTATATAGCAGGAGCTTATTGTCTAAGGAAAGTCTGGAATTCCTTGCGAGCATCCAATACAGTCCTCTGTATCTATGGTAGATCTCATCCTTTTTGGTTTGGATGTGCTTCTTCCAAGTGAGCCTTCTATCCAAGTACATGCCCAAGTACCTAACGTTGTCACTTTGCGGGAGCGAATTGTTACGCAATGAGACAGGCGGACAGTTTCCTCGACGCAAGGTAAACGTAACATGGACTGATTTTGTGGCACTAGCCTTTATTTTCCACTTTGATAGCCATTTGTCAATCTCATCTAGACTATGTTGTAGGATTGCTGAAGCATCGTCAGGACTTCTACTGCAAGCAAGAACAGCAGTATCATCCGCAAAGGTAGCCACAGTGACGTTGTCAATTTGTGGTAGGTCATTTGTGTAAATTGTGTAGAGCACAGGACCAAGCACTGAGCCTTGTGGCACACCAGCCTTAATTGGATGGAACGTGGAAGTATGTTCACCTTCTTTGACTTGAAAGATTCTATCGGTCAGGTAAGACTTCAGTAATCCGAAGAATGTATGAGGTAAAAGAGATTTAATTTTAAATAGTAGCCCTGTATGCCAAACCTTATCAAAAGCCTGCTGCACATTCAGGAATGCAGAGGAGCGGTATTCTTTATGTTCTAGTGCATTTCTGATTGTTCTGCAAACCCTATGTACCTGTTCAACCGTACCATGATCCTGTCGGAATCCAAATTGGTGGTCTGGAATGATAATTCTTTTACGGGGTTCTTTCATAAGCCTTTGCAACAATACTTTTTCACAAACTTTTGATGTTACTGGTAACAAACTGATTGGTCGGTATGAGGTTATTTCATGAATAGGTTTACCAGGCTTCCCTATCATTATAATTTGTGAAACTTTCCACAGTGCTGGGAAGTAGCCAATGCGAATGATTCCATTAATCAAAATGGTGAGGAACATAATACCTTTTTTGGGTAATTCCGAAAGTACTTTTTTGTCAATTAGGTCAAAGCCAGGCGCCTTCTTGGCATCCATACGATTTATTATATTAATAATCTCTCTGGCGTTAGTTGCTGTAATGGGTAGATCCAATTGAAAAGTTTGGCCAAGGACATCTTCAATATCTGTTTCATCACTGTTAGGATCAGTTTCGTTTGGCGTGAATATTTGGGCCAAGTGATCTCCAAAAACATCGGCTTTTTGTTGTTGGCTTCTATCCCATAAGTTGCCCTCCAGTCTGAGTGGGAGCTTGGGGTTAGTGGGCTGATTGAGATGTTTACAAGCGCGATAAAGGGAATAGTTAGTAGCACTTGTGGCTGTCAATGATTCCAGGAAGGATTCCGTTGAAGTATTATTTGCTTTGATCATGATGTCTTTAAGGTCTTTAATTGCCTTATTAAGCGCTGTTTTGTCTTCCGTATGTCTACTATTGTGCCATACCCTACGTAGCCTTCTTTTTTCAATAATTTGGATTTTGATATCGGATGGAACTGCATTGCGTCTCAGTGAAGAGTTGGATATTTCAGGAGTACATTTCCAACAAGCTGACTGCACTGTAGTCATAAACTTAGTAGTAACATTGTCAATGTCTTCCTCGGATTTTAGTGCCATTTGTAGTTGAAGCTCATCATTGACTATACTACGAAATGCTTCCCAGTCTGTTCTCTTATTGTAGAGTTGTAGTTGTTTCATATTAGTTATTATATTGGCGCCCATGGTAAGAAACACTGGGATATGATTAGAAGAACCATCTAATGTTGATCTGATTGTGAATAAGAGTCGCGACATGCCTTTAGAAACAAAGAAGTCCAGGACATCAGACAGTCTATTTGGGTCTGTAGGCCAATGTGTAGGTTCTGGTGTTGCAATAGTTGTGAGATAGTTCTTATCCAAACTCTTCTTCAGCTCTCTTCCCCGAGTGGTTATCAGTCTGGAGCCCCAATGAAGATGCTTGGCATTCCAGTCACCACCAACAACAAAGCGAGAACCAAGGCTAACAAAGAACTCTGAAAATAGCTCCTCAGATATCCTGTGCTTGGGTGGACAGTAAACAGCCGAGATAGTGAAATCGCTATTTCTGTCCAAGACAGATACTGAAGTTGCTTGGATTTGTTCAGTGCTGTATTGAGGCAGTTCATGGTGCTTTATTGACGATTTTATTATGACAGCGGTTCCGCCATATGCAGTTCCATCTGGATGATTTGTGTGGTATATATTATACCCTTTTATCTTTATCAGACTGCTGCTAACAAAGTGGGTTTCTGATATGAGAAAAATATCAATTTTATGCAACTGAAGTAGTATCTCTACTTCGTCTTTGTTGTTAATACTAGTAATGATATATTAAAACGTGTGCAAGGCTGTATGTTTTTCATGCCGTGTAAGTACTATCCGTTAGATTATTTAAAAAAAATACAGTAGATTTAGAATTTACCATTTAATTAAAAGGCACAACAAATTGTGGAATAACTTATATTATTTTTTTTTAAAAAGCACTGAAACACAAAGGTATGATGATGATGATCTTCAAACTTCTGAAAAAATTTTCTTGAATCACAGCTAAGAACACTTGATCAAGTCACATTTCAAACAAAGAAACTAAGCTACCATGCCACAGATATACATTAAACATATCACCCTCTTTTTCGTTGTGGGTTAAAAAATAAAATAATTAGAATAAGTAGTTTGTAAAAAATATTCTAACATTAATAAAGTACATAATAGAAAGCTGCTAAACGTTTTTTTTTATAATGAGCTCTTTCTTCCAGAAGCGGCCCCACAGGAAGTGGACCTGGTCGAGCACCGAAGGTTCGACAAAAAATGAGATTGACTTCATTATGACGACTAGACGGCAACTGTTCAGTGATGTCTCAGTGATCGCGAGGGTGAAAACTGGCAGCGATCACCGAATGGTTAGAAATACACTGAACCTAAATCATAAGTTGGAGAGGTGTCGTCTAATGAAGTCAATGCTCCGTCCCCCTCGTGCTCTGATCCAAAGTCCCGAAACCTTTCAGCTCGTGTTACAAAACCGTTTTCAGTGCCTAGAAGATTGCAATGCATTGGACGATATGAATGACAAGCTCGTGGAAACTGTCCATGCGGTCGGCGATAAGTTTTGCAAGACCCGTCGCAGAAGAACACAAAAACTCTCCAATCACACTCTTAATCTCATGGCTATTAGACGGGAAATGAAGCTGTAATCATCAGCAGATTTGATAGCATATAGACAACTGAACAGACAGATCTCATGCATGTACAACCAGTGCGTGTTGTCAGTAATGATCTATGGAAATTAGAAGTGGTCCTTCACTGCTGGCTGTGTGAGGAAGCTAAAGGTCGCCCATTGAGTTATGGAGAGGGCTATGCTCGGGGTTTCTCTGCGTGATAAACTTCGAAATGAGGATATCTGCGGGAGAACCAGAGTGACCGACATAGACCAACGGATTAGTAAGTTGAAGTGGTAATGGGCCATATAGCTCGAAGAGCCGACAACCGATCGGGAAAAAAGTTCTCGAGTGGCGGCCTCGTACCGACGAACGAAGTGTAGGTCGTCCCCCCACTAGATGGAGTGACGACCTGGTAAGACATGCAGAAAGTCGATGGATGCGGGTAGCTCAGGACCGTGCTTTGTGGCATTCCTTGGGGGAGGCCTATGTTTAGCAGTGGACTTGTGTTATTTAATTTTATCCGCCTGTGCCAAGTCTACCAAAATAAGTAAAAATTTTGCGCGCTCTTTAGAAGCTTTCCTCTGTTCGGTCTTTAATCTTTACTCGTGTGGCTGTACCAAGTCTAGTTTTGTCGTATATTATATACAAGGTTATTTTTCGAAGAGGAGCCAAATTTTAAACTTAAGTTCAAATACATAAATAATGATATACCGTTGTGGCAGTTTTTTTTAAAATACGAGTAAATAAGGTTATACGAGTAAATTTGATATTATCCTAAATTGAATGTGATTTACGGGCAACAACTTTTTCCCTACCGATCGATCCTTATGAATGTGTGCATCCGCAGTAAAATCGGTTAAAACAATGCATTACCGCATTAAAAGATAGAAAGGACAGAATTGTTGAGATTTTTTAAATTAATCTTTCTTCACCATTTGCCTATATTACTTATTCTGAACCTTGTCTGCAAATTTAGCTGGTTATTGCAAAATAACCCTGTATATGTAACACCTTTAGTATAGCAATAACCTTATCAAAGATAGTTCTCACCATTGCTGGGTCGTTCGGCTGCGTGAAGTGGGATACCACCACTCCCGTGATGATACACACGGTCATCCCCACTAACGTATAGTACAGATAGCTCAGCCGATACAGGAAGAATGTTCCCGATCTGTAATCCAATATATTATCTTAATCTTAAGGTGTTACTACACAAGACATTCCTTCTGTGCGGGTAATTTTATTTTTTTAAATGTTACCTCCAGACTCGAATTTTCTATTGTATCGTTGGGGCAGTTTACATAAATAAATTACACTAGGAGACATATCCAGACCCGGAACAATTGTCTGTATACCGTGCAAATACTTGTTATTGCAGCCATCTGTGCAGGACAGAATTGTAATTCCCGAGTGTATGCATAAGCACAGGTGCACTGTCTATTCGCTAACTCTCATATACCGATGGGACAGTAATCCAATATGATCCGGGATACACCAAGAACAGGACCTATGGCTTTACGTGCTTTGCGAGGCACGGTGGTGAAATACCGCCAACTTCCTGATTCCGGGCTGTTACTGAGAATTTCTTGACAGACAAACAAAAATCCAATAACTGATTTGGCCCATCTTTTTTATTCAATATCAATTATAAATAATACTTATTGAAAGTCACTTTTTTGTTTCATTAGCACTGGTTCGAAAAAAACCTCTGTCCTGGGAAGAACCAGCAAGAAACCCAGCTGGACTTTTTTTTAATAACAGCTTACAATCATGTAACAAATTAGAAATAGCTTGGTAGCGATCACCTCATTCCCAGGGGTTATTATCATCGATAAATTCCTTAATATTATAATAACCCTTTTTAAAACCGAGGACCTTATGATTAGCTGCGTCAACTACGACTAGACCAAGTCTAGTATGACGGATGTGGCAGCCATCGCCCTCCTCAGCCATACCTCCTAGTAGTTACAACCCAAATAGAAAATGTCACCACCTGTCAAACTCAACGCCCGCATGCGCCATGGCGGATGACGGTGACGCCAGGGAGAAGTTCCCCGTGCATCCAGACACCGACACCGGTTTCGGGACTACGATGATTTCACCTCTTATCATGGCGGCTTGCGTGCCGAGAGAGATCCAGCCGACCAGAAACGTGGACGCCACGCCTCCCACCATTGCGCCCTGTTTAAAAAAAAAACAATACAATTTATACAGATTCAATATAGATTATAAATAACACTTCTTTATTATTTTTTAGTTAAGAGACTTTTGTTATTTTTTAAATGTCATTCCCATTGCACCTTATAACTAAACTAGCTTTTCCCCGCGACTTCGCTCACATGTTACGGTTTTTAAGTTTTTGCGCGGAACCCTAATTATTTTTCTAAAATAAAAGTAGCCTAAGTTACTCATTATGAAATCAGCTATCTGCCAGTGAAATTCCCGTCAAAATCGGTCCAGCTGTTTCGGAGATTAGCCGGAACAAACAGACAGACAGACAAAAATTTCAAAAATTGTATTTTCGTTATAAGTACCGTATTTACTTTCATATGCATTTAGTAAAAAACTGTAATTTTGACATTACAAGCAGACACTTCAATTTTATTTATTTGTATAGATAACACAAAAAGATTAATTAAAATACGTGTACAGTAATGATACACCATTTGAGCAGCGCTTGACAACAGTTCAGAGACAGTGCATTGATATTCACCTATGTTACACATTTTTAATGTTAGTTTTAGAGTCCAATAGTTTATTTCGTGATGGTTTTTGGAACAACGAGCAAGTGTGTGTATCTTCTATAGTGTTGCATGTTGCGTAATTATGAGATTCTTTCTTTTCCATCGTGAAAGCAAAACTACTTATTACACGGGAATGTGTTCGGAACGAAGTCGCATTGCGAATACAACAGATTTTCTATGCAATATACAGACATTCATTAAACCAAGGCACTTCCGGAGGCTTAGTCCGGACAGTTTTGTACTATTTCCCTTTTTCATGCAACTCTTTATCTAAATATTCTTTTCAAAGTGCAAAACATCTCTCTTTATATTTAATTATAATTCCTGTATAATGTGGATCAATGTTACATTCTCTTCCTTGTGTAATTGCCATTTTTGCCAATTTATCAACTTCATGTCACTTATGTTTAATTAAACCCTGGTTCAGAAAATCCATCTGTCGTGCGAAGAACCAACAAGAAAGTCAGCGGGGGTATTTTTTAAACAATTAATATATTCTAATATTTAATATGATATACCTTATTCTATACGAACATTATTTATTTAATGATATTTGTTCTATTGTGCTAAGAAGAAATGAAAGAAAGAGATATGAATAAGGGGGACTATTGAGGGTTCAGTTTGAGATCAAGCGATATTAAAAAATCATTAATGAATTTTTGAAGTTACTATAAAGTGCGAGCAGTACTACCTTATATCGGCAATGCGTAGTCGAGTAAGAGGCGACGGAGGAAAACCAGGAGATGGCTAGCGGCGTGCTCTTAATAACAATTAAACATTTTAAAACTACGGTTGCCAACATGACCGCCAAACACGGAATCTATGACAAATGTACCTTCTCTAAGGCAATCTATGTGGAAGACCTATGTTTAGCAGTGCACCTTTGATAGGCTATAACGTTAACGGTCTGTTGATGATTCACTATGCATTGGAAAAAATTATCATTCGACACTTTGTTCCCCATACTCCAAAGTCCAATATTCAGTTTAGTTCTAGGTGATCTTTTCATATTATTTTTGCAAGTGTTACCATAAGATGTCAGCTATCTCACTGACCTTATAAATTTTTATAAAGCGATGATTTAAAAGACTATCTACAATGGTTAAAATATTTTTTTTAATACAAGAGAGGGAAAACGAGCATGCGGCTCACATGATGGTAAGTGTTGACCGCCGCCCATGAACAACTGTAACACAAGGGCAATTACAAATGCGTTGCCGATATTTTAAAAAAGATGTATTATGTGCTTACCGTAGAGTTTACCCACGGCAGAAAGAGTCCCATAGAGAACATCCCCAACAAACTGCCGGCTGTTATGCCGGCGAGACTTTTCCCTGCCTGGATTAGAGCACCCATGTGTTCCACTAAGAACACCATAGCAACGCAAAGCGCACCTGACGAATAAATTAGTTTCTAATTTATTTTTATTTATTGACATATTATAAGACAATACCACCAACCACACGGGTTGGCGTACAGTATTTCCCAGTTTCGTCCCGTGGGTGTCGTAAAAAGTGACTGATGAAATTTCCAGAAAAATCTATATTTTTTATAGAGTAAGAATGGCAAATGAGCACTCAATCCACCCATTGTAAGTGAATGGTGTAGAATACAATAGAATCATTTTATTCAATATACATTATAGTACATAATACTTATTGAAAGTCATTTTCTACTTTTGACACTGGTTAGCAAAAAAAGACCTCAGTCCTGGGAAGAACCAGCAGGAAACACAGCGGGACTTTTTTTTCATAAAAGCACAATTTACAATATAATATTTTATACAATTATCATGAAAACATTTAGAAACAGGATGGTAGTGATCCCCTCATTCCCAGGGGTTCTTATCAGTCATGTACTCTTTAGTAGTATAATAACCGTTACTAGACAATTTCTGCTTAATAAATAATTTAACATTGTGGCTCACAGATCTATATCTATTCTCGATTAAGAATTAAAATGCAGATGCGTTGTCACACCTGAGCAGTAAGATGGAATAAGTAGTAAAAGCGGTTTCCGGTTCTCTAAACTCACCATTCAAAACACAGCAGAATTAAACTGCTATTTTACTTTGATATTCTGTCAGACCATGGTCCTTCTCCGACCGAGCCAACCTATTCGTGCTACAACCATAATATAGCTGCAACATGGCTCTATCACATAAACGTATTGTATAGTCTAGCAATGGGAACAGATAGTCACCCTCACTTGTGTTTTTAATTTACTTTATTGTTGTTCCATGTAAGATTTTATCTTTATGTACTACAAATAAATTTATCGTGTAGTAGCGGCATAGAACTATCCACGAGCCTACATTGACCCGTGAGTGTCATAAGAGGCAACAGAGGGAGAATGAAACAGGGGATTGCAGCTGCAGCATTTTCCTAATAACGACTCAAAATAATAAAAAAATGCTGTTGCCAAACCGCCTGCCAAGCGTGCCAACTACGTCAAAATCCCACCAATGAGGCAATAGATGGGGAGGTGCACGTTCAGCAATGGACTTTTATAGGCTGTGATGAATCGATGGAAACATTCTTAAAAAAGAAAACTTATTTATATTCTTCTATGGCGAAAACTCGATTAAAATTCTTCGAATAATACTCATTGCACTAACTTTGACACCTTTAACTTATTGATTTTATATTATATATTATTTATAGAGACGTACCTACGACAACAACAATAATTTTCATAATGAAACTTGCGGTCCTCTCTGAAATTGGCTTTCTGTACGCAGGTCTGATCAGGTCCTCGAAAATGACGCCGCACATTGAATTCAGTCCAGTCGACATCGAACTGAAAGCGACAGTTCCTTGTACCAAATAAGAATCGAATTTCTTAAAATTACAGTCATGATGTCAGATGTACATCATGGATTCATGGATCAATATTTCTCTAATTTTGTTACACGTACACAATGACATTCAATTAACTATAAAACAAATAGCACTGTTTTTGATGACATTTCAACGAAAGTGATTAAACATGTAGAAAACACAGTTGCCCCCGTAATGAGTCATATTATAAACCTATGTGTTGAAGATGGTGTATTTCCTGAAGTTCTTAAAACGTCCGTTACGAAGGTGACACTAAAAGTTCTTAGAAAATCAAAAACAGAAAAAGCTAGCAAGTTATTACTTTTATTATATCTTTTAGAGATAGTGTCCACTTACATCCATACAACGCTGCATCCGATGGTACCACTGATAAAAACACTTTGCCCACTCGTCCTTAGGGGTCACGTCGACGGCGTTTTGAAACGCAGCCACTGCTTCCTCGGCGTCCATAAAACGTTTTCCTCGAAGTTTTTCTTTTATTTTCGGAAATAATTAAAAATCGCAAGGTGCGAGGTCGGGGTTATAGGGTGACAAAGTAATTCCACGTCTAACATCGCCAATTAGGCCATTGTTTGCTTGACGGTGTGCGACAAGGCGTTGTCGTGGTAAAGGAGGACCCTACTTCGAGGTCGTTTCTCCCGAACTTTTTCCAAGACAAGTGGCGAACAATTATTCGTGTGCCACTCTGCAGTAAATGTTGATCCTCTAAAACAATTTTTACCTAATGACCTGACCTTCCGAAAAATGAGGCCACCACCTTTTTTCCCACGCTAAGACCTCTGTTCACTTTAGTTGGAAACTCTTCGAAAGGAAACACCCAGACAGCAGACTGTCTTTTAGTTTCAGGTTCATAACAATAAATCTAGCTTTCGTCACCCGTAAGTATGTCGAGCACAGCATTTGAGTCACCTCCGTTAAATATTTGAACCATTTCACGACACCAATCAACACGACGCCATTTTTGGGCCTCTGTCAAATTATGAGGTATCCACCGAGCACAAAGCATCCTGACCGCTACATTTTCATGGAGTATTTTGTGTACTTGACTCATACCGTTGCCTAAGCTTGCCCGAATCTGCTGATAAATCACTCTTTTGTCAGTATCTATCATACGCCCCACAACACTGATGTTATGTTCAGTCGTCGCCGTAGAAGGCCGTCCCTCACGCAAATCATTGGTGATATTAGTGCGAACACGTTTAAACTCATTAAACCAGTTGTAAACAAAGGCACTAGATGGGGCTTTATTGTAAAAGGCCAGTCGAAGTCTATCGTAACTTTCTTGTTAACTTAAAGTATATCGAAGTTCATAAAATATCATTGTATGAAGATTTTAATTCATGCTGACGTTACACAGACAATTTTCAATTTGGCGCCAAATTGTAAACAAATGACAAATTAATAAAATACATACACAATAATAGTAGCAAAGAGTTCCATTTTCAAAATTTGAACTTATATTGTTATTATATCGTTTACAAGTAGCCAGTTCTAAAAACTTTCAGTGTCGCCCTCGTATTAAACAACGATTTAAAAAAGATGAAAGGGAGGACTTATCCTGTTATTGTCCGATTGCTATGACTTCTATATTTTCAAAAACTACAAATTTATTAATGTAGCAATTTATTAATTTTTATATCAAGTATTTACAAACGTTGATAGGAAAGTACCAGTGACAGCCAGGCATGACTTGTTAATTATAAAATTATATAAATACGGTATAAGAGGCAAGACACTTAGTAGGATTCAAATTACTCAAGTATCACGGATTTGTCCAAAGACTAAAAATTAATATATTTATTGGTGCTATCCTCAATCTCCAAATTTTGGTGTTCCTCAAGGAAGCGTACTTGGTCCTTTATCATTTTCAGTATATTGTAAGAAATGTAAGAAACTATTCCACTTCTGATGTTAGAAATTATTCTAAAAATTATTAACTAAACCAAACAATCTAATTTAATATAATATGTATTACTTGTAAGATACATTGTGTTTTCATGCGATTGCCAAGTCAATCTATTTATTTAAAATATAAAAGATCTTTAGTATTGATGTGGCCACTATAAGATGTTGTTAGGTTAGCTAATTAGTAATAATGGACTGAATAAATTAACCGACTTGGTATTACATGGATCTCACAACTTTTTACGGTAGAAGAGAGACTTGGTTTTTTTACAAGTTATGTTTTTGACGGCATCTCATTTCTTTTTGTAGATAGTTATATCTAGGTACCTATCTACACCTATTATTCCATTATATTATACATATACAGGTACACTAATTTATTCACTGCAAATGTAACTTTGTAATCCTATATATTTGTTCGGGATTACAAAGTCAATTATGCAGTTAATGTATCTAGAAAAATGGACCGAAAATGCAAAATATTTTAGTTTTTCCTTGATTTATATACTAAAAACTAATTGTATTCTAAATTTGAAGCTTCTGTGTCTGCTAGAAGTTTTTTGCCTTTGAGTTTTAATGTTCGGTCAGTCGGTGAGTGACAAAATTAAGAAACTTTGACTAGTTATAATTCTTAAACTACTGTTTCAAATTGAATGAAATTTGAAATATACCGTATCTATACAATGCCTGCTTGATTACTGAATTCTTCAATTCAGGCTTCTAGTTTTATACACAACGAAGTTAAAGGGGGTCGAAAATGGCCTGAACTGCTTCGAGAAAAGGATGGTACAGCCGTGCCGCTTTCTTGCTCAACTTGGCGGGGGCACTGCCGTGCCCCTAGATACCATATGTTTAACTATTACAGTTATGTCACAATAACTACTTTTTCATGTTAAAATCTGAAATAGTAACGCCGGTACAAAATATGCCACATTATTAGTATCAGTACCTGTATCACCACCAATTACGTTAACCATGTAAGTTTAGTAACATTTTTCACTTTTTAAATCTTTGTTAATTCAGCAACCGTCCGTCGTGATGTCTCTCTCGAAGTTCGCATGTCGCAAGGCGCAGACGCGTGATATACGCGGGTGAAACCGCGGGGCACAGCTAGTAGTATATATTTTAAATCTCTTTGTCTTGAAATGTAACATATATAATTGTAACTATAATATTTATATACCTAAGGTCAACCCAGGCAGCGAACATTATATTTTTTTAAAGATCTATTCTGTCACATTACCCGTATTCATAAATAAATAAAATTTGAATTTGATTTTGAAAAATTTGGATATTGTTTAAACTATACAATTAACAGAATTGCGGAGATCCATTGTATTAAAGATGTTAAAAATTAATTAGCTAGAGTCCGCGTTATAAAATAAAATAATATCTTACCTAGTTCGAGTACCTCCCGCCTTTCCTTAATTGCGTGCACTATACCCGTCACTTAAATCCCAACACAGGTTAATATAGGCCTCTTCCAGGAATGCCATAAACCGTGGTCCTGAGCCAACTGTATCCGTTGACTTCCAGCATATCTTACCATGTCATCCCTCCATATAAAGTAGGGGGGGGGGGGGGAGGACTACACTCCGTTTACCAGTACCAGACTGCCGATCGAGAACCATTCTTCCTCATCGGTTGTCAGTTCTACGAGAGTATATGGCCGGCACATTGCCACTTCACCTTACTTATCAGTAATCACACTCCTAAGGTGTCAAGTGACAGGACTACGTATTGTCGCTATATCCAAACTAACGGCCAACGCCTCCCCCTTGGACTCCACTGTCTCCGCCCATCTTAGATTTAGGTAACCCAAAAGGTCACCAGCTGAGCGACCTCGACGGAAACCGTACTGGCGGTCACTAATCAGCTGGTGATCCCCAAGGTACCGCAGGAGCTGGCTGTTAATAATAGTTTCCATTACTTTGGAGAACAAGGAGGTGATAGCGATAGGCCTGTAGTTGGACGGATCTGAGCGGTCGCCTTTTTTAGGGATCGGGTGCACCAAAGCTGTCTTCCATGAATATGAGTAGGAGTACCGGAAAAGACGCGTTAAAACCGGTGCCAACCCCGGAGCACACGTCTTTAGCACAATAGGTGGGACTCCATCAGGCCCACTCGACTTGTTGACGTCCAGGGAGTGTGTGCTTTACGCACCGAGCGCTGTGTAAACAGCACTTCCTGCATGGAGCACTCACACCGCGGGATGGTCGGCGGTGTGTTCCCCCCGTCATCTAGAGTCGAGTTAGAATCAAAGAGAGAGCCTAGCAGATCGGCTTTCTCTTTTGCGTCATGGGCCAGTGAGTCGTCCATCCTGTGCAGAGATGGCAGAGATGGCTGACAGAAGTTCCCTTGGACAGTCTTGGCGAGAGACCAGAATGCACGTGTTCCCGAAGGGAGGGGAACTAGTTTCTTGCCAGTTCTGTCGAGGTGCTCTGACTTCGCCTTGGCAATGACACTTTTGAAGGACCTGGAGGCGGAATTACACTTCTTTTTAAGAGCGCTGGCATTTACGTCCCGGGACGTTGATGCGTCTGCCCAGGTTTGGTAGCACTCCTGCTTATAGCGTGATGCAATTTTACATGAGTGACCAAACCATGGCTGATTTCTGCCTCCAATAGGTACCACAGATGATGGAATAAATAATTCCATTCCCTGAAGTACCACATCCGCGACAGAGTTAGCAACAACGTTGGGATCGTCCGGCGAGAAGAGTAACCAATTAATGTTAGACCATATGCCAAGGTAGTCATAGACAGATGTAGATCTGCGGGTAGCCGCATGATTGGTTAAACGGGAACCAAGCCATTCAGCGTGGTGGGCGTTAAAATCACCAAGTATCACGATTTCTGCGGATGGGACCTGTTGAAGCACGGAGTCTGCAGCCGTTTGGACGTGGTCGATGAGTCGGTCTAGGTCGGCATTACCGCTATGGGACCTATAGAGGCACCCGTAGACGCGGGAATGGTAGTTGCTGTCTACGTGTAGCCATATGGTGGACAGGTCCTTACCTTCAAGACTGCCGAGGCGTCGAAAACAGATGTCCTCTCTTACGTACACGCAAACTCCAGCCCGGGGCACAAACGAGTGTTCTAATTTGTACCCCTTGTAGGAGAGATACGAAGTATCAGCCAGAGAGGACACCTGTGTCTCGGTTAGAAAGAGCAAGGCCGGCATTGCTATCTCCAGATGATAGTAGACTTCGTTAAGGTTTGAATGAAGTGTCCTGATATTTCAGAAATTCACGGAAAGCGTGGCAGGGGTTGCTTTTGTCTTCTTGCTCCGCTTGCCCCGAGCAGGTTTCGTCTTGAGCAGAATCCCCCCCCCCCGGCCCACCCTCAGAATACGCGGGACAGCCTGAGCACCCACGCTCAGAAAAGTAGGCTAGCTTGGGCATGGATGCCCAGGGAGGGATTCTCCAGGGATGCTGGTACCCTCCTGGGGTAGTGTTCCTTTTAATTCCGTTACGATGTTGATCAACACTCACCATGCGAAATGCAGAAGTAAACGTCTACTTCACGCTGGTATTTTGTGAGGTCATGGTACCACCCCGGTTCGAGCCGGCCCATTCGTGCGACAGCAAAAGCTGCCGCGTGGCGCTACCGCTGCTGTGCATCTCCTGATTTGTTTCTTTCTTACGCCTCTTACGACACCCACTTTACTATATGGAGTAGTGGATATTCTTACACCGCCACTACGCGGTAAAACAAAATAAAAATTACATGGTAAATTGTAACATTATTATTATATACCTCAATGCCGCGCTGAAAACTCCACTCATGAATATTCCCGGCAGCGCTGGAATCGCTCCAGTTATGGTCATCACGAAGTACGGTAGCAACTGATCACTCTTCCGGATCGCACCCGTGGTGAGGGGATCACAGCTTGCGAACGTGGCGTATATCACCAGCCCCGTGTAGCAACAGAGGGACACTATGATGAAAATACCCGCCGCCATGATGAATATCGTTCTGCGAATTTATTGTTACGTAGAAATCAAAAAGATCTTTGAGTTTTTTTTTTATAGAATAATCGTGACAAATGGGCAAACAGTATCCCTGATGGTAAGTAGATGCTGTGGCCCATAGACATCTGCATTTATCTTCGACTAGCTGATCCTTGCGACTTCGCCCGCGTGTAATTTAGAGTTTTAATTTTGTTTCGTGGAAGCCTAATTATTTTTTTAAAAATATAAGTAGCCTAAGTTACTCCTTATAAAATCAGCTATCTACCAGTGAAAGTCCCGTCAAAATCAGTTCAGCCGTTTCGGAGATTAGCCGGAACAAACAGACAGACAGACAAAAATTTTAACAATTTTTTTTTTGTTATAGGTAACGTATATACTTTTATATGCAACTAGCTGTTCCCCGCGACTTCGCTCGCGTGTTAGGGTTTTTATGTTTTTGCGCGGAACCCTAATTATTTTTCTAAAATAAAAGTAGCCTAAGTTACTCCTTATGACATCAGCTATCTGCCAGTGAAAGTCCCGTCAAAATCGGTCCAGCCGTTTCGGAGATTAGCCGGAACTAACAGACAGACAGACAGATAGACAAAATTTAAAAAAAATGTATTTTAGTTATAAGTACCGTATTTAATTTCATATGCATTTAGTAAAAAAACTGTAATTTTGACATTACAAACAGACACTTCAATTTTATTTTTTTGTATAGATGTATAGATTAAGAATTAAAATACAGATGCATTGTACTCCTTACGACTAAGATAGAATGCCCCGTTTTGTGGAAGATATAGATAAGATAGATTTCTGTGGGTGAGGCCTATGTTCAGGAATTGACTTGTGACGAACTGTAATAACGATGATGATGATTTTAACCACAATTTATCCAAAGTCCTGAGCTCAATTTCAATCATCTATTTTGAAATTACGGCATGAAGTGACCCAATATTCCCAGCTAATTCTAATATCTTATGTTAGATCCCTAGACTTGATTTTGGGGATTAGTTTTGGGTGTAATGAGTACTATAATCAGGAGAGCTATATATTTTTACCTGTTTTGGTTTTTATATTCTTGATTGCCTCTTATAAAATTCATTCAGAAATACATTTGTAATTGCCCTTTTTAATTAGGATGGCTGCATATGGTTCTGGAATATATTTTATAGCATTCCTTCGGAGGAGCCTATGTTCATCAGTGGACTTGTGAAGGGTTGTCATAATGATAATGATGAATCAAACTCTCAGTAAGTAAGGTTATTTGAATTTCACTTACAATAACTTCTCATATACTTACATCCTGGCTCTTTTGAGAGAGGATAATGCGAGACATCGCTGCACCATTGCTTGGTTCACAGAGCAGGACGCTAACCAGCTGAAGTAGTTCCCGAACACCGTCGTCCAGAATGTGTGTCGGATGGTCGGATCCAGGTCCATGCTACAAAATAAATATTTTTATGGGTAAAGTACGTCGGGATACGCTCTCGCCTTTGGTAAGTAGATGGCAATTCAAAAATATGCGAAGCTACTCAATGTTTAATAGAAACAGGTGTTACATTGCGGAAATACATTATATATGTATTTCCGCAAAGGCTACTTCATCTGAGGCTGTCACGTATAGATGCGAAACACGTGTTGTATTATCGACGATCACAACACCGTCGAGATCGTCGTCTTTCCTGGTGTAGTGTAGTAGTATAGTAGCATAGTGTACACAATTCAGGGAGGACGGAAGGTGTTCTTCAAAATTGATGAATAACATAATTTAATTTAATAGGCGGATCATAGCCTATTAAGTATTAACATCTTAATACTCACTGTTCAGCTACCCGACACGCTCCACTGAATTCTCACTACGGAGGCTTTATGAGAATCATTCTTTGTATTTTTTAGAAGTGTACCACACATGCTATTCGGTGAGTGTGCTCAGGAATTACACGTTTTAATTCCTCCCTCCTCATTTTCACCATCGGACGACCGGGCGGACAACCCGGTAAAAATATTGCGTAACGTTCACACAAAAATATACAGACGAATTGAGTACTCATTTGTCGAAGTTTTTTTTATAGCATAAGGTTGACAAACGAGAACAAAGCCTACCTGGTGGTAAGTGAATGCTGTGGCCCATAGATATCTAGATCTATCCTCGATTGAGAATCAAATTGCAGATGTATCGTAACCCTTGAGAACTAAGATGGAATGTCTCCTTTCCAGTAGAAAGCATCTCCGGTTCTCTACATCACCATATGAAACACAACAGCATTAATCCGCTATTTTACGATGGGATTATGTAAGACCATGGTCCTAACCCGGTCGAGCCGACCCATTCTTGCTACAACCATAACAAAGCTGCAGCGTAGATCTAATACGTATAAAAATAACAAGACGTAGAAATAAAAGTACTTATTTGTTTACTTGAAGAATTCGAGACGATCTCCTTCTCTGTTGATCTTGATGACATCCATCACGCCCCCAAGTCGCCAAGTGCCGTACACCAGAACGAAGAGCACCCCAAAGTACATTATAACAGTTTGTAACGTATCTGTCCATACAACAGCCTTCAAACCACCCTGTAAATAATATTTATTTAGTTCTCTTGCAGGCTTAAGTTTCATATTATGTCTTAAAATATCATCAACATCATCATCATTACAACCCATCAGAATGGAATAGAATAGAATAAATTTATTTGCAACTATACAATCTGATATGAGACGGTGTTACAATTATATTAACCTAGTATTGTGTGTAGAGAAGAGGGTTGAAAAAAATAAAAATAAATGTTGCCGGCTTTTACCTACTCCTTTTTAAAAGGCCGGCAACGCATCTGCAATTCCCCTGGTGTTGCGGTTGTACATGGGCGGCGGTAGTCACTTACCATCAGGTGAGCCGCATGCTCGTTTGCTCTCCTACAAAAAAAGTCTTCAAGCAGACCTGCAAATTTTAAACAATATGTACCTAACTAACATAAAATTACATTAATTCTCATAAATTCTTTTAAATTATAAAAGCACTTGTTTTATAGCCATTCGGTTAATCAAGTTTTAAACTTGATTCCTTTTAATATTTTATAAAGTTCGGCAATTTATTAAATATGGTTTGAACATAGGTTTTCCCTAAGGAACGCCACAAAGTACGGTCCTTAGCACCTTAGCCACCAACATCCATTGACTTCCTGCATATCGTACCAGGCCGTCGCTTAACTAAGTGGCGCCCAACACTTCGCTAACCAGTACGAGGTTGCCTCGGTCGATAACATTTCTTCAACAGTTTCATAGCCAACTCTAATTTTCGAGTTTTCATCGCCTAAAATCTTACCAAGGTACAAATTGTTCCATGTAAAAAAACATGCCTGAGTGTCGTGGAACACTCCGTTGGAACGTCCTTTTATAGTATATTATTATTGATAAACGTATTATATTATTGATTAACAAATATAATTTATTAATTACTAGCTATTCCCCGCGACTTCGCCAACGTGGAAGTCGCGGGAGTTATTTTTCGGGGAACCCTAACATAAAAGCAGCCCAAGTTACTCCTTATAACATCAGCTATCTGGCAGGGTATATAAATATTGACAAATATTGACATTAATATCTATACGATACTAACGTCACTCAATTGTTTTGCCTTCCCGGAACCCCTCCACTAACACTTAAACTTTATGGTATGGTATTAAAGTTCAAATTGGCTTTTAAGTATTATTACGAATCTTTTGTATGGGAATATAGAAAAGTGTTGTTTTTAGACTTTTTCAGACAATTTTTAAAAATTTTTTTCTGTTTCTGAACCATCTTCGTACTTAAAAGAATTAGCGAAATCGGTTCAGCTGTTCTGGAGATTTGCGCTTAGCAACACATTCATTTATATATTATAGATTAGCGTCTGTAAAAATGAAGCGTCAATTAAAATAAAATACACTATGACACAAGGGGTAGTGAAAATTTTAAAATATGGTTTCTTGTTATTAGTATTTTGACATTACAAACAGACACATCAATTTTATTTATTTGTATAGATTTAAAGTCGCTCCCCGCCTGACTGTACGCTTAGATCTTTTAAACTACGCAACGAATTTTTATGCGTATTTCATCAATAGAATGATTGACATTCTATTGATGAAATACGTTAATTAACGACGGCTCCGTGGCGCAGTGGCTTAGCAATCAGTTGTTGCGCTGGGGGCCGCGGGTTCGAATCCCGCACGGAACAAGTATTTGTATGGCCTACAAATAATTGTTCCGGGTCTGGATGTTTGTCCTTGTGCAATTTATGTTTGTAAACTGCCTCCACGACACAGGAGAAAATCCTAGTATGGGGGTAACGTATTTATTTTAAAAGAAAAAAAAATTATGACCAGAGGAAAGTTTATACGGATATTAGTTGATATTATATATTGTATAATTCTTTTATGTACATGACTGAACTCCTCTTAAACGACTGGACCGATTTTGATAAAGTTGTGTGTGTGTGTGTGTGTATGTGTGTGTGTGTGTGTGTGTAAGAGAATGAAGAAGAGAATGTTGATCAGAGAATGGTTTAGATTCACAATATGACCCAATTGAAGGCTTTGTTGACGCGATTTGTGAGGTATTTCTTCTTAGTCGTAAAGTAACGAAGCAACATCAGCCTTTTTTTGTTGGTGTTGCTGGCAACATCACTCCACCTATCCACGGAGTGAAATTGTCACACACAGGTGGATTGTAAGTTCGTTTGTCACTTCAGATTTATCGCAAAATACATGCTATATATGTAATGCTAAATATAAGAATTAGAAGGAAAGCACGTAAAACCCTGACGTCCACGAATTCCTGGCTTGGTAGTTTCCTAGTGTAGTGTAATTACAAAGTTTACGTGGTAGAGCCACGCTGCAGTTATACTATGGTTGTAGTACCAATGGGTCGGCTCGACCGGGTAAGGACTACGCTCTCACAGAATGCCAGCGTAAAATAGAAGCTTAACACTGCTGTGTTTCGTATGGTGAGTGTAGAGAACCGGATACCATTTTTACTGGAAACGAGACATTCCATCTTAGTCCTCACGGGTGACAACGCATCTGCATTTTTATTGTTAATTAAGGATAAATGTAGATGTCTATGGGCCACAGCATTCATTCTTTCTTCTCATTTTTTAGTTTAGCTGCCTCTGATGGCGCTCGCGCTTTAAACGTGTATACGCAAGTAGCATCCTACACTAGAATTTACGTCTCTCCCAAGGGACCAATTTTTTTTTATTCATATAGAAAGGGCTTTGTCGCTGATGCGATTATGCCGCCCTGGTAGTTACAAAAAAATCTTAAATATAATTACTAACTTATTATTAAAAACTTATTATGTTTACATCTCTTATTAACTAACAAATACAGTTTTTTGGCATCATCTGATAACGGGTCGGATAAAATACTGTTACTACTACCAATTAAGGACAAATGTAAATTACAATTTGCTCTTTCTCTTGAGTTCTGGGCACATTCTATCAAAATGTAATAAACATCATCGATAATATTACAAATGGAACAATTTGGTGAGGTAATTTTTCGCATCAAGTATAAAAATTTATTGCATGGAATGTGTCCAGATCTGAGTCTTAATGCTGTTATAGTGTCGCGTCTACACAACACTCTGTTATCTATCCAGGTAGGGACCAATGTCGTACCGTTATACTAAAAGTTTGAAAACATTTAGAAACAGCATGGTAGCGATCACCTCATTCCTCGGGGTTATTATCAATCATGTACTCTTTAACAGTATACAATAGAATAGAAACATTTTTATTCAATATAGTTTACTTTTACCATTATAATAACCTTTAGTAAACGAGTTTTGCATACTAAAAATTTTTATGTTTTTGATAAATAAGTCCTGTCCTGCCTATTTTTTGGGACTTTGCTGAAAAGTGTCCAACCCAGTAAGTCCAACAGAGCCGTATCCTGCCATAAGATTTTAATTGCGATGCCTTTAGATACCATCGTTATCATCTGTCTGGTAATTAATTAAGCAGGTGCCGAAGTCACCCAAAAACTTCGCAACTTGCATTAAAATATTGTGAAGAATTTTATAAATAAATAATGTAAACAAATAAACAATAATTTACAGTTACTTGACACTGGCGAAAGCACTAATCAGACGAGTACATATCCAAGAAAAACAATAAAAAAATATTAACGCAACTTAAAAAGCACAAATACACTTCAAAAAGGTGATTTTTTAATTTATTTCTTTAAAAAATGTTAACTCTATACTAGGCTTTTCTCCTATATCGTAGTTTACATACATAAATTTAATTAATAGAATCAGGCGTTACTTTGCGGAAATCCATTATATAAAAGCTTTTACAAAAATTTACTTTGCAAATATCCGCGTTATAAAATAAAATGATGTTTCATACCTAGTATGAAGAAGCACCCCCCCCCCCAACTGCGCGCACTATCCCCGTCACCACTAATCCCAGCACCGCTACTTCTAACACCACTACACTAGGCAAGACACACCACTGACTATAATACGACACGTGTTTCGCCTCTACACGAGGCATCCTCAGGGTGTTGGAAGTAGCGGTGCTAGGATTAGTGGTGACGGGGATAGTGCGCGCAGTTGGGGGGGGGGGGAGGTGCTTCTTCATACTAGGTAAGACACATCATTTTATTTTATAACGCGGATATTTGCGAAGTAAATTTTTGTAAAAGCTTTTATACATAAATTTCACAAGGACAAACCCAGACCCAGAACAATTACTTGTAGGCCATACAAATTCTTGTTCCGTGTGGGGTTTGAATTCGCGGACTATAGGATTGCAACGCAATGCTAAGCTACTGCGTCACGGAGCCGTCAAAGTCAATTTCTAAGTTCAATATAAATCTTTTAGATGATAACATTAAGAAAACGGGGAAAAAGGAATCGGTATCGGAAAACCACATTAAGATTAGCAGAATTTAGTCAATATAATAATTAATGGAGCCAAACAGACCAAGCAGGTACACTGATCGCAAAGCATACGAAGGACACTCATATTAAATAAAATACAATAGTAATGCCAATAAACTGTTGGTAATTTCCACGGAGCTATCAATACGAGGTGCTTCCTGTGACATTTGTGGAGTGCGGTGCACAGTAGAGCGTAAAGTGACGTACGCGACCTCATTCTGTAACGGCCGATAGTGCTTAAAACCAGACAGTGACCAATTTAGCAGTAGAAGGGGATTAAATAGGGTCAACATGGAGCAAAATGATAAAACGTACTCACTAGCGTCGTGTAGAATATACACACGACACACACGATGGGCGTGATCAGGTGCAAATTGACGCCAGTCACTGAAATAGAAACGATCCGTTATTGTGAACATGAAAGAAGTAAACATAAAATATGATGTCGCTAGGTAAACGCACATCATTGTTTTATCTCTATCTTTAATCTATCTATATCTATTAAATATATAAAAACCAATTACTGTCCGTTAGTCTCGCAAAAACTCGAAAATGGCTCCTGGATGTTTTAGATTCCCAATTAGACCCGGTAGGTGGCGCTGTCGTCGGGATACAGAAATTGCCCGTACGAAATACGCAGCATTATAATGCAGCCTACTGCTATTTCACGCTGGCATTCTGTGAGAGCTCGGTCCTACCAGGTCAAACCGAACCATTCGTACAGCAACCATAATATAGCTGCTTTACAATATACATATAAGTGTCTGTGTGTAAAATAACTGGCTTTTATTGAGCTCGGGAGATTATTTGAACACTATTAAGACATATATAACCATTTTTGAAATTTCTGTCTGTCCGTGTAAACCGATTGTGATGAATCTTTACGAACAGATAAAAAGCATTAGAGAGCATGGACAGATCTAGGCTATATTTCATCTGAGGAACTTGAAGATTTTGTTTCGATAAATCCAATAACTGAGAAAAGTGTTTAAATAATGCCACATCAATAGATTCCACCCTGCTGAGAACCCCGGTCCAGAGATGAACAGTATTCCATGTGAGGCCGAACTTGCACTTTGTAAAGTTGCAAGCGATGTGCCGATATGAAATACCGTCTCGCTCTGTTGAGCACGCGAAGCTTTTAGAGGCCAGTTTGGCCTTCCCTTTCAAGTGACCACGAAACTGCACACTATTCGATATGTCGACGCCGAGGATTCCGACGCTAGCTGAGGCACGCTGCCCGCTGGGAGTGCCTTGAAACTGAGGAGATACGACAAACGGGTTCTTTCTTTTAAACGCGCAAACTTGTGTCTTCTGGGGATTGAACTGGACTAGATTTAGTCGCCCCCAATCCGAGACTTGGTTCAGCAAAGACTCGACTTCAGACACGAGTTTGTCCCGGTACTCGGCGACGTTTTCCCGAGATATATTGGCGCGGCTGGTATATAAGGCATCACCAGTACGCTATTCTGCATAGCAATTAATGTTACCAGTTTGCAACATATCATTGATATGCAGCAGAAACAGCGTTGGTGATAGCACGCAGCCTTGTGGAACACCAGCGTTGACAGGCTTAAAATAAGAGCATGCACCGTCTACTACGACGTTAATTCTCCGATCAGCAAGGAAACTGGTGATCCATTTGTATAATTTCTCGGGAAGCCCATAGGAAGAAAGCTTCGAAAGAAGCGATTTGTGCCAGACCCGATCGAAGGCCTTCGCTATGTCCAAACTAACGTCCAATGCCTCCCCCTTGGACTCTACTGCCTCCGCCCACCTATAAGTCAGGTAGACCAGAAAATCACCAGCTGATCGATCCCGACGAAAACCGTACTGGCGGTCACTAATAAGCTGGTGATCCTCAAGGTACCTCATGAGCTGGCAGTTTATAATGGATTCCATTATTTTGGAGAACAAGGAGGTGATGGTGATAGGCCAGTAGTTGGACGGATCTGAGCGGTCGCCTTTTTTAGGGATCGGGTGGATCAAAGTCGTCTTCCATGAATTCGGGTCTACGCCAAGGGAGTAGGAGTACCAGAAAAGACGCGTTAAAACCGGTGTCAACTCCGGAGCACACGTCTTCAGCACAATGGGAGTGACTCTATCAGGCCCATTCGACTTACTGACGTCCAGAGAGAAGAGTGCTTTGCGAAGCGAGCGCTGTGTAAACCGCACATCCGGCATGGAGCAATCACATCGCGGGATGGTCGGCGGTGTGTTCCCCCCGTCATCTAGAGCCGAGTTGGATGCAAAGAGAGAGGTTAAAAGTTCGGCTTTCTCCTTTGCGGCATCGGCTAGTGACTTGTCCTTTCTGTGCAGAGATGGAAGAGATGGCTGACAGAAATCCGCTTGGACAGCCTTGGTGAGAGACCAGAATGCACGGGTTCCCGAAGGAAGGCGAACTAGCTTCTCGCCAATTCTGCCAATGTGCTCAGACCTTGCCTTGGCAATGACGCTTTTGAAGGACCTGGAGGTGGAATTATACTTTTTTTTTAAGAGCGCTCGTGTTTACATCCCGAGACATTGATGCATCAGCCTAAGCCCGGTAGCACTCCTGCTTATAGCGTGATGCTATTTTACAGGAGCGACCAAACCATCAGCGATCTGCCTCCGATGGGCACCACAGATAATGGAATATAAAGGTCCATACCCTAAAGTACCACATCAGCAACAGAATTGGCAACAACGCTGGGATCTTCCTGCGAGAAACAAACCCCCAAGGATAGGATGCAAAGAACGACCACATCCCGTACCAATCGGCCGACCTATAGTACCAAACACGGCGGCAAGCTGGAGATCGTAACTGCGATGGGAGCTTGAGGGGCATCGACGGAGACCTGATTTCCGCCCGGATTAGAGGTCAGCAGAAGGTCCAACAGAGAAGGTACATGATCCTCAACATCTGGGATCCGCGTAGGCGAAGTAACCAGTTGTGTTAGACCATATGACAAGGCAAAGCCATAGACAGATCTACCCGCATGATGGGTTAAACGGGAACAAAGCCATTCAGCGTGATGGGCGTTGAAATCACCGAGTATCACCTGTTGTAGCACGAAGTCTGCAGCCATTTGGACGTGGTCGATGAGTCAGTCTGTGTCGGCATTACCGCTATGGGACCTATAGAGGCACCCGTAGACGCGGGGATGGTCGTCGCTGTCTACGCACAGTCATATAATGGACAGGTTCGTACCTTCAAGACTGCCGAGGCGTCGAAAACAGATGTCCTCACTGACGTATACGCAAACTCCAGCCCGGGGCACAAAGGAGTGTTCTAATTTGTACCCCGGGTAGGAGAGATATGAAGTATCAGCCGGAGAAGACACCTGAGTCTTGGTTCTTACCGCTGTCCATTACTGCTTTGCTTCGCTATCGCTGGCTTCGCCGTCTGTAGATGGTAATGCACAGCGGTAAGGTTGGAATGAAGTCCCCTGATGTTGGAAAAATTCACGTCTTTTGTATTCAGTTTTTTGTTTAATTCCCCTACCATTTTGATAGGGGGAGGGGGGATTGGGCCTCCGGCCACCTGCAAGCGCAACGCAGAGGTAAACCTCTACTTCACGCTATTCTGTGAGGTCGTGGTACCACCCCGGTTCGAGCCGGCCCATACGTGCGAAGCAAAAGCTGCCGCGTGGCTCTACCACCGTTAAAAAAAAGTTAAGTAACTATTAAGTCCTTGACTGTGGCTGTCCCATCAGCACAATATCAGGCTTATTTGTAAGAATAGTCCTGTTCGTGATGATGGCCCGGTTTCAGTAGAGCCTGGTGTGGTCATTTTCGAGCACGGCTTCCGGTAAGTACTTATAATATGGTTTTAATAACCTGATCTTGTAATGCACAGACAAAATTCTCGGTTTCCCCGAAGAGGTCACCAAAACGTAGCAAGTGAAGGGAGGCAACTGTGTCTACGAAAGGCTCATGAAGAGCCTTGTAGAACCTCCCGTGGAGCTCTTGCACCTTCCATACGGCCTCCCGGTCGGAAATGCACTGTACTTCTGGGTCTTGCCATTGCTCGTTGAGTAAGGATAGAGGGGTTAGCCCATTGTCACACGAAACTTTAGAATTGATCATCTGATTTCGTCAGGAAGTAATTACGAAGGCTGCACACTTTGCGATTATGCATGGTGAGAGCGCTTAAACAGTCGCGCCAACCATGTTTAAGCGGCAAGTACAGCCTCATTCATACATCTCGGATGATGCATCCTGTGGGACGTCATAACAGTGCGAACTTTTGTATCCAGAGCGTTCAGTTCGGTCTGAGTCCACTTGAGTATACCAAAGGTATACATGAGAACAGGCTTGATCCAACCGTTATATGCGTGTGTCTTATTAACGCCCGACAAAAAACTGTTTAGCACTTTTCTTAGGCGTGCATAAAACACATGCTAGTATTATTATTATAATATTTGGAAGTAAGCAGTAATTACACAGGTGTCAGTAGATACCTTCCATATTTACAATTGTGACTTCTTGCAATGCTGATAATTTACACTGTTTAATTCTATGACTCGGCAGCCACTGATGCTAAGTTTCAGCTTGCAGTACTGCGGGTTGTGACATCGAATCCCGCACAAAAAAATATTTGTACAACCCATAATTGTGCCGGGTCTGGACGAACTATATGCAAATTATGTATATAAAACCCGTTCAATGACACAATATATATTCTCTTGATCTTCGTAAGGAGGGGCTTTTATTTAAAAGTTTTTTTTTTTATAGAATAAGGGTGACAGACGAGCACACAGTCCACCTGATGGAAAGTGGATGCTGTGGCCCATAGACAATTATCGTTTTACTCTCGATTAAGAATCAAAATGCAGATGCGTTGTCACCCGTGAGGACTAAGATGTAATGACTCATTTCCAGTAAAATGGGTCTCCGGTTCTCTACGCTCACCATACGAAACACAGCAGCATTAAGCTGCTATTCTACGCTCTTATTCTGTGAGAGCGGTCCTTTCCCGGTTGAGCCGACCCATTCATGCTGCAATCAGAAAATGTAAATTTACAGCCTTTATATGTCCCATAGCTGGGCTATGGCATCCACTTATTTCTGAGAGGGATAATGGGCAAGGAAGTGTCCACCGCGCTGCCCCAATGTCTGCCGAAAAGGCTTTGCAAGTTTTCGATTTTTTTTTAAATTACTCGGCCAGTCAGGTTTCATCACGGTGATTTATTTTAATACCGCAGGTGATTAATCATCACTTAAAATTGCAATAAATTAATTGGTGTCGGCGGGATCGAACCTGAGCTCACGTTTTACCACGAGCGCTTAACCTGAGGATAAAATAACATACCTTGACTAAAAGCTAGAGCCGGGACGTATATCACAATGGGAATATACAGCATCATTTTTATGATGAAGATGATGGAGCCAAGTAGTCGCACGTTCTGATTGAACCTCAGTCGTAAGTACTGAAACAGAATGCCTAGTTAACAAACAACACGTTAATAAAAGTTTACTTGTAGCAAATAGCACGAGCACACAGTCCACCTGATCAAATGCAGATACGTTGTCACCCGTGAGGACTAAGATGGAATGCCTCGTTTCCAGTAAAAAGATTCTCCGGTTCTCTATACTTGCCATATGAAACACAGCGGCATTAAGCTGCTATTTTATTATTATAGCAATATTAAATTGTTACTGATTGTACTAAAACGTGATGTTGTCGCGTGACTTTTTATATATTTATTTGTATATCCATCCAACCATTACATCCTATAAAGGAGTATAAGTTCACCACTGAACATAGGCTTTATTCATAAATTTTATAATTAAGCTTAAATATAGAACGCGTAGAATTTAATAACATAAAAATAATAGTAAGGTTAATAGTGAGTTAAGAAGTTATTTTTTATAGAATACTATCGATCCGTTCCTGCACAGGTGATTTCTGGGTTTTGACAACAGCTCCACCTACCGGATCCAATTGTGAATCTAAATCATCCAGGGACCCATTGAAATATGCAAAAAAAATGTTCATCTAAATCGGTCGAGCCGTTTTTGAGTTAAGAGACGGGTGACAAACGAGTACACAGTCCATCGGATGGTAAGTGGATGCTGGTACTCTGTGAGAGAGTTGCCCTTCCTTGGTCGAGCCGACCCGTTCCCGCTACTGCTATAATAGGTGCAGCATAGCACTACCATGTTTAAGGTGGTCTTATAAGTGCCAATGTTTAATAACCAACTAAATATTGAACAATCGTACGTAATCGGCTACTGGTTTGTTTCAGGTGTATAATCTATACAGATAGACTGCAGATGTGCCAGCCTGTACGCTGGCTCTACAACCTTAAGACTGGAATACTATATTTGATACAGCAATACTCCACTGAAATTTTCCAATTGGAATTACATAATGGTTAATTTTATTTAGGCGAATACTGCTCATAGAAAAAAACAAATTTGACGGATATTATCGCGTTTAATTTTATTTTTTTTTAAATCCCGACGTTTCACGCACTTTACAGCATCTATTGTCACGTATTGTTTGAGCTGTTTGACGTCCTGATGTCATAGTCAGTGAAGGCTTTAATTATAAATCTTTTGTCCTGTTGGAATAACGGCTAAAAATAAATAAGACAGCGGTGGTTATCCAAACGGACCTTAGGCGGGAAAGAAGCCCAGTAAATATCTGTTAAAATTAAATGATACCTCTTTATCTTTTGACCCTTAAAATTATGACTGTGTAATATTATACATGTAACGGAAACCCTGTGATTCCCGTTAATTGCGTTATCAGAATCCGTATTCAAACGTATGGAAATAACTTGACAGAAAACATGACTAGAAAAAATTCAATTATATTTAAATAATTTTTTATTTGCAAATTGTATTTGGTTATATTGCCTACGCAGGTGGCGGGGAGTAAGAGTAGTGGTAAGAATATTCACTACGTGGGTACCGTGAGAGGCGACTGAAGGAATCAAATCAGGAGATGGCAACAGCGTCTTCCTAATAACGATTAAGACTCTAAACCTCCGACTCTTGCCAATCGTGACAACTATGGCAAATATCCGCCCTTTGAGGCAATCTATGGGAGATGCCTATGTTCAGCAGTGGACTTTAATTGGTTGTTACAGCAACACTTGTAAGCTTGTTTGTTTGGGAACATAAGTAGCATCTCATGACAGTATAAAGTTATCATAAGGTCTTGGGCATTTCCGAGCATTGCTACATCCGGTCACTATCGTAATTTGTACAGGATATGTTCTAGTGACATAAGTATCCAAGAGAGTGGAGTGTAGCGTCCTCGTCTTCCCGCTTCCCGCATCCCGCACCCCGCATCCTGACTCGCCTGACCAATACATTTCTTGATAGGTCCGGATACAAAGACATTTATGTTCAAAAACAAACACTATAGTTGAGAGTTAATAAGTTCAATTTAACTTTCTTCATCAAGTCAGAACCTGTTTATTACAAAGTTGTCTCAACATAATATCATGCTTCTAATTCTAACCAGAAAATTGACTAAATCTCAACCCATGTGTACACTAGCTTAGGATTTGGTTTGTATATTAAAGGGTCGCTCAGCGAGCTATAGGGAGGACTATGGTCGAGGGGTCTCTGTGTGATAAACTTAGAAATGGGGAAATTCGCATTAGAACCAGAGTAACTATCATAGGCCAAGGGATTTTTAAGCTGAAGTGGCAATGGGCCGGCCATATAGCTCGAAGAATCGGCAACCGATGGAGAAGTAATATTCTCGAGTGGCAGCCTCGCACCAGTAGGTGAAGTTTGTGTAGCCCCCCATTAGATGGAGTATGAACTGGCAAGACATGCAGGATGTCGATGGATGCAGGTGAGCACCCTACAATAATATAAACAGCCTAAGTATGTGTAAACAACGGGGGAACTTATTAATTATCTTATGGATCATTATCTTATCACACAATAGACCTGTGTATCTAAGAGTGGACAATGTCAAGTCCTTGTGTCGTTTCTTCGGTTAACTAGATTTAGCTACGCGACTTACGTTTACTCTATAATATATCAAATAATTTACCTCATATGTAGAAGTAATTTGTAGGTTATAAAACACGGGCAGGTAAACGATCGCTATGGTGACGGAGACAGCCCATTCTGACAGCACTATAGTCCACAGCTGTGTCCCGTACGTGTACATTTCAGCAGGCAGACCCAGCAACGAAATACCCGATATGTAACTGCAAGAAATTAGTCCAGTGATAGGATATATTTAGGATAACGAGGTAAAAGCACCATTCGCTGCATTTTAACAAATTCGCTATTATCATAAAATTAAACAAACGCAGTGTAAACGCAAGCAATCTTAAACTTAATTAGTAAAAACCTTAATAAACTCGCAAACAAACCTGGCTATGAGAGACATCGATATAGGGAACATGCCCATCGTCTTTCCGCCCATGAGGTACTCGGAAGTGGTGTTCTGCTTCTTCTTAGCGAAGAACGCGAAGTAGACGCCGATGAGGGCCGACATGAGCAGCATGGCCCCGAAGACGAGGTAGTCGAGCCAGTCGAAGTACACGGTCATGGTTGAAGTCGTGCACTCGCGTCCGTACAGAGGCACGCTTGAATTCCATCTCGGTGCACAATAGGCGTTTAGCGAACGGAACCGGGAGCCGGAGAGTTGCTATATTTATCCTTGGAAGGATCTCGGACGGGCCCATTGGAGGGATGAGACTGACTAATTGACTATTTACCGGTCCGCGAGACTCGCCTCGCCTCGCCTAGATACATTAAACGCGGGCCACGTCAGCCTCAGCAATTGTAAGTCTCGGATTCAATTCTATTGTCGCGATCTCGTAATATATAAAAATCAATTGCCGCATGTATGAAAGATCATCAGCAGTGAGAGATTTTGACGAAATTTCTTGTGTGTATTTGAGTGCGTCTCTTGATAGTTTAGATGTACAATTGGTGTTGGAGAGCACCCATGTGAAGACCCATGCGAAGCGTCGTAGAAGAATAATAAATAATTATATTATAACATATAACTGTAATTATATCGCTAGTATTAATATATTGTTAAACGCTTTATGTAAATTATACCGTGTAGTGGCAGTGTAAGAATATCTACGGTACACCCCATGTCATCCCGTGGGTGTTGTAAGAGGCGACAGAGGGAAACAAACCAAGATATAGGCAGCAGCGTCTTCCTAACAACGACTAAAAATAATAAAACTGCGGTTGCCAACCCCAGGTTTTTTTTTATAGAATCGGGTGACAAACGAGCACACAGTCCGCCTGATGGTAAGTGCTTACTGTGACCCATAGACATCTACATCTATCCTCAATAAAGACTCAAAATGCAGATGCGTTGTCAGTTGTCACCCGTGAGGACTAAGATGGAATGCCTCTTGTCCAGTAAAAAGGGTCTCCGGTTCTCTACATTCACCATACGAAACACAGCAGCGTTAAGCTGCTATTTTACGCTGGTATTCTATGAGAGCGTGGTCCTTCCCCGGTCGAGCAGACCCATTCGTGCTACAACTATATTACTAATATAGCTGCAGCATGGCTCTACCACGTATAACAAGCCAAGTTGCCAAGTGTGCCAACTATGGTAAAATTCCCCACTGCCCACCCCTCAATAAGAAGGCCTATATTCAAAAGTGGATTTTAATAGGCTGTATCAGTAACGGTAAATTATAAATCGAAAAAAAATTATTCATATTAAGCTCTTCTGAGCCTAATTACTACAATAAGCTTACTTTACCTGAAATATTAAAAAATATATGTTCTAGTAGCGATCCGTTTCGACTTCGTTAGGGTGATTTCGGGATCGTGACAACAGTGCCATACTGGGTCCAATTGTGAATCTAAACTGTCCATTGAATTACTCAGACTCACGCAAAAAAAAATCATCCGAATCCTTCCAGCCGTTTAGTAGGAGTTCAGTGACAAACACACACGTACAGAAGAATTATATATATATATATATATATATATATATATATATATATATATATATATATAAATATAATAAAATCTCTTGGGAAGAGTAACATAAGACTACTTAGGTATTCTAGAAGTATAATAGTACCTAAGTATTCACTTACCATCAGGCGAGCACCATGCTCGTTTGCGCCATCTACAAGTTTGCTTGTCAATTCAGTTTTTAAAAAAAAAGTCGTACTAAAAATATCAGCCAGTTATGTTCAACAATGATCTGGTAAAGTGACCTCGTGATAAATATTCATTCTAGAAATCTCTGCTTCAAGGCTCTGCTTGAATAGAACTTACCACACGAACTGTGAAGATGATAAAAACAAAAATAATATTTATAAATTTTAAAAATGTATAAATATTATTTTTGTTCTAATTTTAGCGACGAACCGGCAAACGCATTGCAGAGCTATCCGCCGGATGGAAACGACCTTGTAAATGATCCATGAAGTTGGGTTGCCTGTCAAGATCGTACCTTGTTACAATTATTAGGAAACGTTATCACGTGATATAGCAACGTTGCAGCGTAATTGGCTGTAGTACGATTGGTGCGGCTCGGTGAAGGATCACATTCTTACAGAATACCAGCGTGAAATAGCAACATAAATACTCATGTGTTTCGTCAACTGAGTGACGTTAACGGGAGTGTCTTTTACTGGTTACGAGGTATTGTATTCTATTCGCTGGCAGCTGCAACGCATCTGTATTTCGATCCGTAATCGAGAATAAGTGTAGATGTCTATGGGTCTTACATAATTTTACAAGAACGTGGACTGTGTGCTCGTTTGTGATCCTTATTCCTACAAAAGAATTACATTCAGAAATGGACTAGCTAGTCATTACACGTAGCACTTGTCAAATGACTTTTGACTCTGTAATTGTGAGCTTACTGACGGTACCCTTAGCTGCATTCCATTTTTTTCTCTTGTACCTAAAAGCAGGCCACTAACGGGAATAGAGACATTGTATGTGACACTTAAACATAGTGGTAAAAGTCTCTATATGTATAAAATCCTCACAAACAGATCCGGTACAGAAGTATTATTCTTGTGTTAGCTATTGCCCTCCTAGACCATTTTAAAGTAAAAGAGGACAAATTTTCACATGATCTCAAACCACCGCTAGCAAGTCAACCAAAGGTATGTTTTTCTGTAAGAAAATACGTACAGATATAAATAACCATTTTTAAATTTTTATCTGTCTGTCCGGGCTAGTCTTCCCAATAGTTGAACCAAATGTGATGATCTATACTCACTGATAGAGAGCAACAGCAGAAGGGGTCTAGGCTATATTTTATCGAAAACACTTAAAGATTTTTTTTTTAATAAATAAATTGTCGTCGACCACCATTGTTCTAAATAATGCCACATTAATAGATCTTAACGAATCCTGGGCGGGTCGCTAGTATACAATAAACAGCGATTGATACACATTTTATAGAACATAGATACTTATACATTTTTATGAGACCATTTTGGAATGTTGATTGACTTCAAATCATCCATCCGTTCATTATTGCCTATAAAAGTCCATTTCTGAACATGGATCTCCCTCATAGATTGCCCCATGGGGGGATTTTGCCATAGTTGCCACGCTAGCCAGGCGGGTTCGCAGCCGTAGTTTTTTTATTATTTTAAGATGTTGTCAGAAATATGCTGCTGCCCGTCCCCTGCTCCAGTTTCCCTCTGTTGCCTCTTACGACACCCTCTGGTCGATAGTGGATAGTAGATATTCTTACACCGCCACTACACGGTTAATTCTTCAAATATAAGTAAATAATCTTCTCCTTTTTCTTCATCATTAAAAGTCCACTATTTAACAAGGGCCACTCCGGTTGCAGGGGGCATTTACCCCAACATTCACGCTTGACTGACTGATTGATGATTGCTGCACCCCGTCGCTGATTTGGATATTTTCGTTTGGTGTGAACGAGATTTTTATACCGCCATATATCGAATGCCACAGGATTTTTCTGGCATTTTTCCTAGTCGCCTCTTACGACCCATGGGATACAATCGAGTGATAAAATCAATAATCTGTATATAATACAAGATTTTGAACTGAGATATATAGTAATAAATTATATATAATAGTAGATCATAGATTATAAATAATAATAGATCAATTAACTACATGATAAACAGAAATGGCTCGAGGATAAACCCCTGAGATACGCCATTTTTAATAGCAGAACCAAAAGACTTGTGAATTGAAACCATTTATTTAAACATTTTGAATCCATTAATAAGATATGATTGCAACAAACCTTGAAATTGTTCATGTCAGGCGTAATAATTAAATTTATAACGTCAATTTGAGTGATTTACACATATAAATGCTTTAGACAAATTACAAAATACTATAATTACATTCTATGGGTACTATAGTGCTTGGACTATAAAACACAAATTGATAATTATGGAGTAACTTGTTAACGATAAGGAAGGAAATCATTGATTTAGAATCTTGCTCTCAAATATTGTGTGAATTTAAGCTACTGCAGCTTTATAGAAATGCAATTCTTGTACTATTTATAGGTTGTTTTAAGCATTATAATTTCATAATTAATTTGTTATGTTACCTAATTTCATTACCAAATTTTATAGTAAATAGAATTATTCTCATAAAAAAAGGTTTTTAACTGCTTTTCTTGCTGTCTGCTCTGTGTAAGGGTATAAATTTTTTTCTTAAATCGGCGTTTGATTAGAAGTGTATAAACGTTTAAAGTAAGTCATCATCATCATCATCATTACAGCCCTTCACAAGTCCACTGCTGAATATAGGCCTCCCTCAGAATGCCACAAAGCACGGTCCCGAGCCACCTGCATCCATTGACTTCCTGCATGTCTTACCAGGTCGTCACTCCATCTAGCGGGGGGACGCCCTACACTTCGCCTGCCGGTACGAGGCTCCACTCGAAAACCTTTATTTCCCATCGGTTGTCAGTTCATCGAGTTATATGGCCGGCCCATTGCTCCTTCAGCATACTAATTCTTTGCGGTATGTCGGTTACTCTGGTTCTACTGCGGATATCCTCGTTTTCAAGTATATCACGCAGAGAAACGCCAAGCATAGCCCTCTCCATAGCTCGCTGAGCGACTTTGAGCGTCCTCATACGGCAAGCAGTGAAGGACCACGTCTCAGTTCCATAGGTCATCACTGGCAACACGCACTGGTTAAACAATCTAGTTTTAAGGTTTTGAGGTTTGTCTAACGAGAAGATGTGTCGCAATGTCCCGAACGCTGCCCAGCCGAGTTGAATCCGTCGATTAACCTCTCGGTCGAAGTTCCACTTACCTAGTCTGACTATTTGTCCCAGGTAAACATATTCCTCAACAACTTCGAGCTTATTGCTCCCAACAACAATCGACTTAGGTGTGACATGGACGTTAAATATGATTTTTACTTTGTCCATGTTCATCTTAAGACTATTGAGGTCATTGAGCATAGTGCTTAGGTCCTCCAGCGATTCTGCCATAAGGACTAATCGTTGGCAAATTGAAGGTGAATGATGTACTTGCCATTGACGTTAATACCGTATCCTTTCCGGTTCAGTAGCTTGAAAAAGTCTTCCAAGGCAGCGGT